TGGTTATTCTGTGGGTTGTGTATTTTAGAAAGAATGCATTAATAAACACATTCACATTGTCTTTTCTCAGGTTTAAAAGACCCAGGATATCAGGATGGCATTACACCTGTAAGTCATCAGCACGCTTCCCCTGAGGCAAGTGGAATCACTGCTCTGCATCATCTGAGGATCAGGACTGATAATGCTGTAATTTTGTTTGTAGTCTTGCCTTGCTTGTCTTACATCTGTAAACCATATTTTGCCTTGAGTTGCAGCAGTGGGATTCTGGATCGATTTAAGGAGTATTATTCTGGATTTGAATTTGGAGCCATTTGAAAGAGAGTCTGTTACTCTTGCATCCAAACCCCAGCACACACACAATTTCTTTAGTCTGCATAACAATCATGTAAGATAGGTATTGTGAAATCAGTGTTTCATGTATAAAGACCATGGGCAGGTTGTTCCTTGGGGACAGCAATGTTCAGCCCCAACAGAACTTTATCCTTTTCAATGAATTCTTTCTCTGTTTTACTTCCCTCCAGCTCCAAGCACGGCAGTGTGCTTACTGGTACCAGACCTGGCACCAAAACACACCAGAACTGAAAGTGTATACAGCACCTGTGCAAGGGGGCAATCCCCCTGTATCCTGACCAGCTAAAAGCATTAAAACTGCTACTGCTTAAAAAGATGTAAAAAGATATAGAAATATATAGATGGATCCCCACACAGGTGGTTGCAATGATGAACTGGAAAGGAGGGCATCCTGGTTCTGAATTTCTATTTCTTTTTTTTTTTTTTGTATTTTTTCCCAGGCACAAATTCAATGTGTAGGTATTGGAGGACTCACCAGATTCATCTGGGTACACACATGTATAAAAGATCACTAACCTTCAATGAGGAGACAATTGCATTTATATATTTAACCTGTTTAGAAAGAAGTGCATGATGTATTTTTTTTTAATGTTGTTTTTTTAACAAATAGGTGGTATATCTCTTTTCTTCTTTTCTTGCTGATTGGTAAACACAATCTTCCAAAAGCAAGTGTTAATTTAAGTTCCAGGTTTACAATTTCAAGTTTGATTTTCTTTGGCAATTCAATCTGCATGACGATATTGATCAAATGCCTCAGCTTATAACATTTGTAACACATGATAAAATCCACCCCAAAAAAGCTCATATTTAAATAATCATGTAATAAGTTGAAGGCACACTGTGACAGAACATGAATTATCTAACAGGCTGCAGACTAACACCAGTTTAGTCTGGAAGACAGATACAAGCACTGAGTGCAGTTTTAGCATTGAAGATAAGAGTGTAATCCTTTGCCCACTTCTATTTAAAATCAATGAAAAAGGGTAAAAAGATAAATTGTTCAGAGCTTGATGTAAGGCATGTGGCTGAAAACTCATTTGCTAATTGTTTAAAATTTGCACCATTGAAGGAAGATGATTTAAAACAGAGGTTCACAATCGGGTGCACACTACCATTGGTAACTCTTTTACTCACTCTAGGCCTTTGTAGTGCTGTGGGTTCCATGTCTTTATTTAGTCTTTGACTGTATGAAGAGAGATAGTGAATAATATTAATCATTGAACCTTCCCTCACCTTTCCCCTGTGAGGTGATCATGACTAATGAAAATCTGAGCTATGCTGGTAAACTGATATTGGCAAAAGAGTCACTTTTTCTTTGCCTGATTGGATAAATACGCAGCTGGTTTTGGAATCAGTTCTTCTGTGAGTGAAATTAAAAGGTGTTACTTTAAAATGCTCCTGTATATATGCAACAGAATTTAGTCACCAGAAATGTCATAGCCAATAAATACAAAAGATGCAAGACTGTAAGCAGTACATGTAGAAAATCAAGTGAATGCTCCTGCTTAATATTTTGGCTTCATCCATTTTTTAAAAGCTCCGGTGGTGGTTCTGTGTGTAAATGTTTCTACCTTTTGATACAGATTCTTTTTATCACAAAGCACTATGTTCAGTTTAAGACTGATCCAAAACGACTGTAGTTGCTGGTTAAATTTCTTGCCAGGCTCAAAGCTTTTAATTATGTTCTTATGTTCATTTTTAAAGGAAATAGTTTAATTTCTATAAAACAGAAAAATCAAATATAGCTGTGTATTTTCTCATGTTCCAGGAATTCTAAAAGGGTTTCAGGACCAGACTGTTCTGTTCTTAATTCATTCCCTGTGCTTTGGTCTATGTATGCATGCTGGTGAGAAAACCATTGTGGGTGCCTGGCAGGGAGGCCCCCAGCACTTCCCCGCACACACAGCGCCTGCAGCATCCACGGTTCTGGGGGAGGGCTGAGAAGTAGCACAAGGCACAGTTGCATCTATTGTGCCTCTGTTTCTGAGGGCAGCAAAACTTCCTGTACCAACCAGACCCTGCTGACCACTACACCTATGCAGCACAAACACTGAATGCAAGAAGATAACAGCTGTTATCACAGTGCTTTTTATCTGGGAGGCAAAGTCTAAAATTGCATCTAACCTCTGTGTGCGCAGAGACGCCAAGTGATGAGAGCTCTGCCTAGATGCTCAAGAGGTTTTAGATTAGATCAGTAAGAGTGAGGTACCTAAATGAATAGTTCTGGGGATAATAGCTTCTGTGTCTTCTACCCATGTGTGGTACAAAGTAGACTCCAAACTGTAATTTATCAAATGATATATTGCGAGCCTTAGAAAACACAACAGGACTTCTGTGTTGTTTTTTTTCCCTAATATATAAAATTATAACACTCCATTTACTTACAGAATCATACAAGTAATTAAACTAGCTATAGTATAGATTTAACTTATTTATCTACAAGTCAAGCTTCTGGTTGCCCTAGGTCAATGGTTTTTATCAACAAAGCTCCATAATAATAGATTTTCTTAATAATGCCAATAGGGTATGTATAACAAAAAACAGACAAACACGTCTGTCTGTTAAGCGTGTGTGTGTATCGGTCTTTGCATATATATATTTCTATACAGCACAGGCTCAGGGAAAAACAGATCAAACCCACATGTTACGTGTCTAGAGAAATAATACTTTTGAGCTTGGCTAAGGCAACAGAATGAGTTCTTATTTTTCTTGAATATTGAGATCTGCTTGCTTGCTTGCCCAGTCATTTTTTTAGATTTCAGTGGAAAAATAGTATTAGAAAATTAAATTAATTGGAATTCTGTTCCTCCATGATAAGACTTGAAATGAGATTTAAATCAGCGTGCGCTTGGTAAAACATGGCAATTTGATGTCTGTTCCATAAAACTGACAACCGCATCTAGTTGTTTTTCTTCTGAATTTGATCAGATAATTTGGTCAAAACTTGGAGAATATCTAACAGTTACACAATCAGACAGATTTGTTCAGAAAATTACAACATAGTGAGGGAAACTCAATTAGTTTTGTCAGCAAATATAAAGGCACTAGCTTGCATTTCCAGAAACTGTCCAAAGCTTTTACAAATACTCTTGATTCAGCTAAAATCAAGCTAATTATATGTTGAGCTCAAAAAATCCTCATTAAAACAACATTATTTGTGTCATAATGTCCAAACCTGAAAAGACTTGAGTGCTTTGTTTGGGAAATACCCAGGATCTGATTTGGCAAAAAATTAATAATAGAGAACTTTGAGATTTGAAACACTACTTCACCTGCTCTCTGCTGCATCTCTAAGTGCCCAATAATTTTGTGACTCAAAACTCAAGTACAAGCATCTGGAAAATGAGAAGACAGTTAACAACCATGTGTGAAAAGTATGGTTGAAATGACCTGCCAAACATAAAGAGGAGGTTTCTGGCAGAAGCTGAGGAAGTAAAATTTTCTGAGGTAGCACTGAATAGTGTTGCCCACGCAAATGTCCTTTTTCTGCATATACTCTCTTTAATGCTAATTGGTTAATTATCACAATCTTTCCTGAAACTCTTTATTTATGGTTTTCTTTCCAGATATATTTGTTGCCGTAAGTCCAGCTTTTCCACTTCAGAGGCACTCATCACTTGGAGAGACAGCGGTAATCTCTAGCTTTACTGTTTGTTTCTTTTTAATTTATGACATAAGATTTGCATTTGTTTTAGAGCATTTACAGCATTTGTATGGCTATTGACCAATTTTATAATATTTGGCTAAGTGGTGTCAGTAATTACATTTTCTGTGTTTCTCAGTCTTAAGAATCACAAGCAAGCTCTTGTAGAAATATGCCTTTAATATGTGTGTGTAAAAATGGAGAGAGGCAATGAGAAAACGTGAAGGAAACAGGAAGAGGACTCTCCAGAGCTTCTGGAAGTAGATGATCAAAACAGTTATAAAAAAAATGTTAAGAATTTACTACAAACAAAATTTCCAATAAAAGTCTAATCCTCTATATATTGAAGTGGTATTTCCACTCATTTGTTTATAAGACCTGTAAACCAGAAGAGAAGCTAAATATAAAACTAAGCGTTGAAACAACATCTGCCCAAGCACCATTTAAGAAAAATTTCAGCTCTTCTTTTTAAGGATGTTAATTATACCTCCATTTTTTTCAACCTTTAGCTTTCATCTAGTTTTCACTAATTATTACAGGTAACGAGCCAGTGTTTTGCAGTTATTGTCCAGGGACAGTTTTAAGGTATGAAAGGTTAACTTACTCAAAAGCTGAAGTTTAGGACAGAAAAAAAGTGAACGTGCAGAGAAATCACCTTTTATCTTTTAGGAAGAATTTTGATTTTGAAGTTAATATGCTGATGTTTTAGTATACAAAACTTATTTCACAGTTGTCAAGACACATGTGTTTACACAGCTCAGTGGGAGCTCCTCGAGGTGTTAGTGAGAGAAAGAGAGAGAGAGGACACTGAAAGTCCATTGAAATAAATGGGTGGCACAGTCAGTGTCCTCAGCTGGGAGTCTCCCAACAGGTTCAGGCATTATGGCATTCTTACAGCTCATAGAGCATTTTGCTCATTTTCTGCTCTTCAGTAGCTGCACATGATAGCACACAGACCCAGAGGCAGCAAAGTTGTATGAGAGGGGCGACTCTCAGAGTTACTTACGTTGACAGCCCAAGCTGTGCCAGATATATCCCGGCAGACATTTATCACATTTAGGCCCTGATGTTCCCTCCTTACACTCACAAAATCCTCTGTCATTACAGCGATCATGGACTGAACCAAAAGGGTTACAATAACAGTCTGCAGAAACAAGACAACACATACACACTGGATTCAGGTCTACATGTGGTGATAATTCATTCAATACTAATAAAGGGTGCATTTCCAGTGCTAAAGGTAAAGGAAGACTGTCTGTTATGGATATCTAGAGTAGTGAATATAACTACTACGTGTCCATTTATTTGTTTGCATATGTCATTTCAGGAAGAGACGTTTTATGATGTGAAGAGAAAAAGTAAACAGAAAAGATATAAAGGCAGAAGATACCACGGGTCTTTGAGGATAAGTGATTGTAACAGATTCTCTTTTGGCAAAAATATTTTTGACAATTTAATGAACATTAGAAAAGTTTTGTATAGTACGGATATATCAATGTGCCATCAAGGTGAGAAGTTTCACATTATTAAAATAGGCTTATCTGTGTTACTCAATATTTTCAGAAGTGCTGAATGTCTTTACAGGGCTATATAAATGCACTTTACTTATTTCCAAGATAGTCTTCCTTTATGGTTTTAAGCAGTATAATAATTTTTGTGGATATTTACCATTAAGTTGGTGAGATTGTATTTATCAGTGACGTTAATAAACCTGTTACGTATTCCACAATGGAAAGCTTGAGGTGAGCACTAATGTACAGCAAAACTTATCAGAACTGGCTCTATGCTGCCATTTTAATTTCTCTCACCTCTCAGCGTGCAGATGGAAAATGCAGTGAGGCTCATTCCCTGCTGTATATTTTTCACATGTGTTCAGCTAATTAAAGAATAAGTAGGGAACCCATTTCCTCCCACAACACTTACTGTGTTGTTCATTCACAGCCCTTTTCCTCAATGTGATTACAATATCCGTGTTCAGCTTTCAGCTAGCTGAACGAAGGCAAGACAGTAGCTGGCAGAGCTCATTTTTGGCACTCCTGTTCTTCAGCTTGGTTATTTATATATTTTTTCCCCCCAAATGAAGGGCTGTATCTTATATGTATGTAGACCCATGTAGACCCAGAGTAACTTTACTGTCAACTGAGATAACAGACACCTTTTGGCAGCATCTGATCTCTGCTGCTTCCTCAGTCTGGGCAACCTGCTGGGAGTCTGGATTTATATGTCTGTGAATCGGTGCTACTTTGATGACTACCTTTGGCAATTGTTCCCCAGCATTACGTTAAACCTCAATGATATCATAAATGACAAAATGGAGTTGAACTGGGAAGTTACATATATATATCTATATATCTCCAATGGAAAAACTGTAACAGAAAAAATATTTCCAGAAAGACATTTGTCATCTGTTGTCTTGCTGTTTATTAACTATAAATTACAGATGGCACTTTGAACATTTGGCATGCTGAAGAAGAATGCCAAACAGGGTTCCACAACAATAATAGAGTCAATTAGCTAGCAACATTCATTAATGAAGTTGAAAACTGACATGCCAAAAATACTGTGCAAGGCTGAGTATTATAGCACAGTGAGTGCCACTTGAAAAGCTGGGAATTCTCATGTTAATCAGATGTATGAAATGCTTGTATAAACAGGCATAAAACTGAGATACACTTTGAATGCAGGAATTAAATTTTGCTTGAAGAGTGTTTATAGAAAATCCTGAAAGATAAAAACTTGGAATTACACTAGAAACAGAAGGCCCAATTCTTGTTTAAGTAGCTTTGTTAGACCTAATGGAGTTACAGTGATTTAAACAAGTATTTGTGAAAAAAATGTATACCCTGTGATACTGAATGTTATAGATACATAATATTTTCCAGAGAGCAAGACTCTGACCCTGCACGAGTGAAACCTTTCCTACTGAACTCTATCACATAAGCATGTTGGAAGTACCAGGCCCAAATTGTGCTGTTTAATGGAAAGTAGATAGTAGGAACACAGATTAAGCCAGGCTCTTTTACAAAATTACCAGATCAAATCAGCACCAAACAGACCCAGCAACCTTTAGTAATTGAATCTAGTCTCCATCTTTCCCAATACACAACTGATACCACAGTAATATGACCTACAGAGGTCCACAGAACATCCAGGATCATTGTCCAATGCAGTATCACAGGCTGTGGAACACTTCCCAAGACCTTCCAAATACTTAAGACATTAAAAAACTCAAAGGTCACAATTTCAGTGTGCCGCTTACAACAACAGGGCATTAAATAATACTAAGCTAACACTCCCAGATCGTCCTAATAAGCAGACCACACATAGGTTCCAGGGTGGGGGGAAAAAGTCTTGCAGATCTGAACTGGGAAGGAATTTTCCTCCTAACCTCCATTTGGTGACTGTTTGAAAGGACGGGAAGATTAACAGAAGTAGTCATCTGTTTGCTGAGATTCACTATATCAATGTGATGCTGCCAACAAAACACAATGAAAGTTAAGTAAAAAGAAGGTGGGCTGCAGGTTTGCTGCTTATCAGTCTGGGTTGACAGTGGCTACAGGACAACTCTCGGGGTTCACTTAACCATTTATCATTAGGGCTTCTAAAAGTTTCACAGATGTTAATTGAAGTTTAAGCCTAACTGACTGCAAGGCTGGCTTTCTTAAAGGTGTGACAGCAATCACCATTTCATTTATATTGTAAGGCAAAGGCCATGTTTTATTACTCTGGGTCTACTTGGTGGTTTTCACGCTCTCCATGCTTGCCAGTGTGTGAATTCACTGAAATAGTTATTAGGGCTTTATCAAGAAATAAAAAACTCTTCAAGCTGTTAAATTCTTTTTTCATGTCAAATTAATGATTTTTAACTTCAGAACACCTTGATTTATTCAGAAACTGCAGCCGCCCATGTGAAGTAATTTTCCAGTTAACTTACAAATCCACAAACATTTGATATTTCATTTTAAGAAATAAAATTTATTTTGCTTCTTAAGAAATTAAGGGCATCAATAATCTAGATTTAAGCCCACTGTATAATGCATTGCATATAGTTCACTGGTAAAAACCTTCTCAGTATTTGAATTCTTTAGTTTTAAAAATTAAACAATTTACATTTTCTCCATTTAGTTAGCATCAGCTAAGATTCACAGATTTGTTATCCATGTACTTACCATATATATTTATGAAAACTGTGTAAGCAGTTTTGATAAATCAGAGCCAGAGCCCTGTTAGCTGCCATTAAATTAGCTTATCCAAACATTTTTTACCTTTCTACATATATGGCTGAAGAGGAAAGAATTAGCCTGGAAAAATGACTTTCATATGGGAAGAAGACTTGCACATGTCACTGGAAATCTGCTTATTAAAATGTTCATGTCAACATTTCACTTGTACTTAAACCATAAAAAACTGATTTTAAACTCAGCGAAAAGAGAAATGAGCGTTTCCAATAGAGCAAGACTGTGCTTGACCTAGAAGGGTGGTGAATCCATCAACTCTCTCAGAGTTGAAAATACACTACATTTTCCAGGATTAAATCTCAGGAGCCCCAGTTCAAGAAAATATTTTAGGCACAAGCTTCTCTGTTTTCTGAAAAGTGCTTAGGTATCTTCTCCATTTCACTGATTTTACACATGAGGTATTATGAAAGACTTCTCAAGTTGGCAAATCAGCTAGGATATGTACATTAGGACACATACATTTTGTATGCAGTATGATCACTGTGACTGTGAAAACTGTCTTAGTCCAACAAGAATGTTATTTATTTAAAATAAATACCTAATATATAGCAAACCAGGGTTGGAGCCTACAGTCATTTCAGGTGGTACAAGTCTCATGGGAGCCCAAGGGAATTCTGCTTTCATTAAGGTGGAAAGTCAGCAAATGTTTCACATTGCCTTTTTTTCCCCCCAGACTCTTTTTAAATTAAAGGGTGTTAAATTTTATTTCTGCGGAGTCTAGGCAACTGCAAAGTGCATAGTTGTTTTACTAAGACATTCTAAATATATCAATTGTAAATTAATGTAAAAATTACTTATTTTTGACTTCTCATTTACTAACGTCCTTGTCTTATGTAGCTACAGCTGCTGTCTTAGCATTTCAGTGTACATGGGAAAACAATGTACTGAATGAGCAGATGAAAAATTCCAAACAGAGTAATTTAGTCATATTCATTAGGCCTATTTAAGCAGCTGAAATTATACAGCCCTAGTGTCATACCAATGATGCCTGTCATCTACATCAAACAAATATGTGGGACAGTGTTTTTTTCCAAGAACATTTGATTGTGTTAATCTCCTCAGCACAGTCATACAAAATCATGACTTGCCTACTAAAGTTCTTATTAGCTCAGACTAATTACTGTCAAAGGAGATCATGCATTTTCTGAATGCGTTGCCAAGCAAAGTTAAAAGGACACATGAAATGCAGTGCGTGGATGGATCTGTGTGTTTAATCACAAAGTAAAATGTTAATCTGTCAAGTTACAAACTGAAACAAATAATAGCAACCTAAATAGTTTCTGGCTTGAATCTCAGCAATGGATTATAAAGGATATGAAAATATAATTTATTCATCCATAGTCTATTTTGGCATTAAAATATCTGCTAACTACTCTTTTTGCTTCCTGGAAAATGGAATGAAAAAAATCACAATGATAATCCAAAAAAGGCCCTACTGATGCTTATAAGAAACATTAAATAATTAAATTCTCTACTTCTATTTGTTATTAGAACAGTGTCTTTTTTGGCTACCTGTTAACTACTGACCATTGTAGAAGGCCTCCTTTATTGGCTATGTCCAGTCTTCACCTGAAGTGTCCTCACGTGTGCTATATACTGTCTGTGGTGGCATGAGAATAATGCATATTCTTCTAGTGTGATAAAGGTCTTAATTTTTTTACTAATATGCTTCTCTTATTATATTCTGACATTTTCCCTAATTCTGCAATTTGAATATTTATAGCAGATGCTCATTCTAAAGCACTGTTTTTATCTCAGGATTCCTTTTCTAAATTGACATCACGTTGAACTGGTTTGACAAATTCTGTTCCTAACCTCAGGGATTAATTTCAGTTTCTCCTCTAAGGAGAGGGGAGGTAACACTGCATTTATAGCCCTGTGCCAGGGAGCATAATTACCTGCAATATGTTTTTGTGAAATTCAGTGAATAAAATGGGTTAATAAACATCACTCCCCACATCCTCTTGCTGCAGCTGGCAACTTTTGTGGGTCTTCAGGCAAGTATTCAAGAGTTTGTACCAGTAATTGCAAAAGTTGGGCTGGGAACAAGTATTTAAGACTCAACCCTTTAGTTTTCACATGTGTGATCCCAGTGTGGCTCCCTCCTGCATAAGGACAGCACAGCCAGTTTCTCAGGGAGTGCTGGGGAAAGGACCCTTAGATAGAGAGTTTCGTCGCCATACGGATTCAAAATGCCTCTTTGGGGCTACCAGGGCAATGGAAATGAGGCAAGAAGTCTACACAGATGTTCTTATCCATTGAAAAAGCTCATTCTGGCTTAACTGGCAAGTAAGCAGCAGTGGTCCCTAGCAGCTGCCAGTGGCTGAAAAGGCACAGAAGAAAAGCCGCAGTTATCCCGGGACTGACCTATGCACACATTTTCATCGTCCAGCTCTGCAGAAGCATTTCTGAAGTAGCCCAGCCTGCATAACTCACAGTGCTGACCTCTAGTGTTGTGCTTACAGCTCACGCAAATGACCGTATTGAGCAGCTCGATGTAACTGCACCGGTTGGAGTGCCCGAAGCATTCACAGTCTTTCAAGGAAGAACAGAAATGTATACAAAATGTATACAGCAGCAGAGTAATAGCACATTACATGCTTAGTAAAAATGAACCATGAGCAGAAATATGAATGAATGGCACATACATGTTAATCAATGTAACATGGACAACAGCAGATGTCTATCTGCAATGAAAGTGAAGTTTGTTTCAGGCAGGTTAGCGTGACCCAACAACCATGGCATGACGTCGAAGGTTGGCTGTTGTTGGCAGACCTGATGGAACTGAAGCATTTGCAGTTGTAAACCTTTCAGGGTTACTGGAGGCTCTATAGTTTCTGCTGATAGAAATGCACATATTTTTGCACATTTGAGATGAGTATAAATCAAGACCCAGGAAAAACTTCCTCATATTAAAAATGTTAAATTCAGCGGACAAAATTGTCAAACTTCATTGTGCCTAAATCCACAACTGTAACTAAAATAAATGTTTTTCCTGACAGAAATGGTGAGTATTCAAAAATGCTACTGAACTTGGGGTGCTATAATTCATAAGCACCTTGGGAACCAGACTCTTCTATTTCATGACTAAACAAATCTCTAGTTTGACAATTTTGGCCACCACCTCCTAAAACGATAAACAGAGAAGAAAAGGAAGGAAGAGAGTTGTTAGTTGAGAGCTACTTCCACTGTACTTTTCAGGTAAGCATTAACCCATTTTTGTATTCTGAGATGAAAAACAATTGGGCCAGAAAAGATCATGAAAATTCTGAAATGTGTACTGAATAGAAAGCATGCTTACTGCAGCCATCTGAAATGCAGTTGGCATGACAGCCACTTTTAAAAACCCCCTTCATTAAACATAGAATGCTAGTGCCTTTTAGTCTTTAATCACAAGCAGTGCTTGGCTTTATGCAGAATGAAGGAGAAATTAGGAATGTATCAATAACATTATAGAAGGCACAGCTACGCTCTGTGTTGTAAGCCTGAGCACTCAGCCCACAATGAATGCAGGAAAGGTTATTAGGAGGATCAGAGAAGTAGAAAGTCTATTTAAAAAGAGAAGACTAGGATAATTTCGCTTGTTTACTCTAGGAAACTGATGATAGAAGATATCAATGGGCTATAAATACATCACGAGTTAGCCTTCTGCCATCCTAATGGACAACACTGTGCTAATGGACAACACTGGCACAAGAACACATGGGTGTTAACTGGCAGTTCAGAAATTTCAGCTGGAAATTAGGAGATGGTATCTAGGGTACCCATTAGGGCATTGAGGTTCTTGAACACTTTCAATTTGTAGCAAAACACACTGATGCTTTAGAGATGTAGTTTATTAACTGGTGGAAGAAATTACAGTGTTTCCTTCAGTAACGGAGCACTGGATGCAGTGACTTGGAAGGGCTTCAAGGTCTTGAAGTTAACTTATCTTGTAATTAGATAAAGCTGTAGCAGAGGGTGTAAAATGTTTCCACACATGACAGAGGCCAAGTACTTTGTGCTGCCTTTCCTCTGGTATCCTCCTAATTACGCTGGGACACCTAATGAGCCCACCGACTGTTGGAGGTGGGCATCAGATACAATATTTGTGCCTGTCTATATTTGTAAAAAGAAATAACAGTCCTCATACATGTTTCTGAGCATGCTATGCCCACCTAATACATATATTTCTTTGGCTTTTGTCTGATGTAGTGGACTGTAAATAGACTGCATTTTTTCTTAGACATTTAGCAAAACATATGTTTCAATCTTGAGAGCTGCCTTTCTCCTGCCAGGAAACGTTAATTAATTTTACATATACGCATTTAGTTAACATATATTTCTTGTTCTCTTTGATACTATGCTGCTAAATCAATGTTTTGTGGTTCATGCCAGTCTGATAATTTTGATGCCTATAAGTGCTGGAGTACAGGAAAACATTTGGTGTATCAGTCTCACTTGAGACAAATGAGCAGGGATGAAAAATATGTTAATGTTTGTTGTCTTTTCCAGTTGGTCAGTGTGATTCAGCATCGCAAGTGAGAACTGGCTGTGTGGGGCACAGAAGAGAGATGTAAAAGTGAAAACTAGCACTAGCAAATAGGAATCACAGAAAATTGTTAGGACTGTAAAAGTTTATGTGACTGGCTAGTGATAAGCAATCAATCTGATCTTTCTGAGTTTTGGATTCAGAAGCAAGGCTCTCTTAGTTTCTCTGTCTGACAAAGGACCTGTCTTCTACTACCATTAGACAATTTATTTTGGTGAGATGATACTGTATTGGTATGTTTGTCAGGCTTGCTAAGCATTTTCATGCTGTAGGTGAATTTAGAGGAAATAATTTACCTTGTTTTTCAAATCAGTAACAGGCAACCCAATACTACATTCTTATGTTTCCAAAATATGCAGACTATAACAAAAATCAGGCTATGCTACATCATCTTTGGTGTTTAAAGTAGCAGAAAGAAATGGAGAATATTCTGTGAATGAATGACTGCACTATTTCCACTCTGAAATTTTGATATGACCTTAATTACTACTACACATAATAACAAGCACATTACAAAAGCACAAGAAAAAAAAGCTGCACATTAAGTAATTCACTCTGTAACAAGGCTTGCTCCAAATTATGATTTGGAGTAAAGAAGCATCTGATAATTATGAAGGACTTGGATGTACACATATGCTCCTAAACATACGCAAAAGGACTACCCAAGTTCAGAGGTGGGTCATTGATACTGAAGGTAAACGATGAGACCAGTTCTTGTACTTGGTTGCATTTATATGGGTACTGCTCTTGTAACAACTGTGCTGTGTGAAAGAAAGTCTTTGTCTGAAAGTTAACTTATGCTAAGGTACAGGAAAGCTCTAGGAGTCTTGATCTGACTAGTAAATGCTACATGGTGTAGAAAAAAACCACGGTTAACTTGAAAACAGTCTAACATCTCATCAAACATTAATAATGGGAAAAGGAAAAGAAAAAGAGGCATGGCAAGTAATGATTAAATCAATTTTGTGGTAATGTTTGCTTCTCCCCTGCCTCCTCACCATTTTGCTAGTGCAATAATTTGCTGCTGTTGGCCTGATCAGTGAATCATTTTTACATCCCTCTGTGTTTACAAAAATAAGCTATGTAAAGAGTCCTCATATGATTGAAATGGAATTATTTTCTCTATTGGCTACATGAGATGCTACACCACTCAAACATAGCACATAGAATTGCATTCAGCATCATGCCAGCTGGGAAGCTAATAGTTGTCAGTGCTGTATGGCCTGTCTACCTTATCATGTGGTTCACCTTAACCAGAAAGTAGCTTGCTGGTTAGAATTGTCAGAAGCACAGCTTAGCTGTTTAGGCACACATCTCTGGTGTAGCAGCCTAACCACTTTTCATGCGCTGGCAAAGTCATGCAATCACTGAAGGAGATGGGGAAGAAGTATCAAAATCAGGCTGCACATGGTTTACCAACAGTGAAATGACATGAGTGTCTTACAGAGCTAGAAAATGCTGCTTTCAGTTCTGAGTACCACATGTCAGGAAAGACACAGATAAGTTGAATAACAATAAGGAGTGAATGGTTTGAAAACTAAAATCTCAGAGCAGAGGTAATGATAGCTAGATAGGTTTAATGTAAAGGAAAAAGGGAGAAGAGACCGCTATATTAGATGTGATCATTGTCTTTGGATGATTCAGGAATTGTCAAATCCCTTGCAAACTCATGGAAGCATTGACTCTATCAGCCTTTAAAAACTATTTTCCAATGCAATGATTCTATTGCAACAATCTTGATCCTGTTGCAGAAAGTATGATAAAATTACCCACTGAAGGAGGCTCACGAAGAGATTGATAATCTAATTGTTTTGTTTCTATAAATTGAACACATTTTGCCCCATTACATCTTTGAGATGACATACTATTGTTGTGAGGACGAGTTTCAGCTGAAGCTTCAGCTGCAACCAGTAAAACATGAAATGCCACCACATGAAACAATGGTAAACACACATGGGAGGGTCTCATAGTTTTTAAACTAAGACAGGTAATGCACGAGACAGCTATAAGTGTGACTTTCTAATTAAAAGCACAAAGCATATTTCAAGAAAAGTGCATTCAGAAATCACTACATTATTTTTAGTTTTTTCATTCTCCAGTAACTCCGTGTTCCTCCTCCATACACTACAGCAAACAAAGGAGATTTTACTGTAACCTTAGAAATTACCTGCTTCGTAACAAACAGTATGGCTCATTACCATGATCTCATCAAATGGGTCAAACTAAGTCCAAACATTTGTTAATAACCCTATTCCTTGTTAATATGTATTTCATGAATAATGAGATATTCACAATAGCTACAGAAAGACAAAACATCTTCATACATACTCTTTACAGATAAATTGATGAGGAAAAACAATGAAGAGATCTCAGGGTTCAGACTGTGAATGACAGATATGCTAATGAAATGGGCTGCCTGTACGTCAGAGAGAATATTGGCATGCTTTATTATGCCTATATAATCCCATTATTTTGATGAAACACTGAACAATTCAAAATGTAATGCCTACACTCTGAATTTGCACACTTACAATAAAATGAAGATGTAAGGCACACTTACAATGCATTAAAAGACATAACAATGCATTACACTCCATGGCATTTACAGATACTTTTTGAGGACATGGACAACTGATGTTTTCTGTATTGTTTTCCCTCAACTAATCTGCTTATGTTTCCTCTTTTACAATTTATGCATATCAGTGAGGAACACAAGACTCTAGTAAACATCCTTTCTAGGCAAGGATCTGAATGGTCATATTCATACATTTTACTCCTTTAAAAATAAATGCCATGTCACTTTATTTGCCAGACACGACTCTCTAAGAAGCAGATTTATTTTTTTTTGTATGGCCTATGTTTACGCAACTTAATGCTTCTGTTATATTCAATGAAGATGCCTCACTAGTAAACTAATGGGTACACTTCACAGATATTCCAGATTCATACAGTGCAATGTTTTCACAACACAGAGCACTATGGAAACACTGTATGAATCCTAGAATTCCTACCTCTCTTGTGGTTTGCAACTTGAACAGAAGAAACAGTTGACATAGCTAATTTGGGAGCAACTGGACAGTAATAAAATGAACAGTAAATTAGAAAAGATATCACATAGGAACAAATCAAAAGATTAAAATAAACATCTTTATTTTCTAACTTTTAAATTAAATTTAACAATGGTTGTTGTTTTCTAAGGAAAGAGTGAAAGATAGAGAAAATGAATTATATACTACCAACTATTGAATCATTTGAGCTGTAATACCCAAGATCAAGACGGGGAATGTAATTCACATCGACACACTTTGGCAGTTTTGTGTTAGAGATTATTTGGTGATTTCTCCTAATCCATGACAAATGAGTATATGGTAACCAGAGCGATCTGAAAAGGGTTTTATTGAATTTATATGCGTATTTATTCTGGCCAAATAGTATAAACATAAACCCACAATAAAACAATTAGATATAGGCAGATTTCTGTAATTATTCTTTTCATACACTATCCTTAACTGAAGTATTTAATCTACAATAAATGTTAAACACTAACAAATGCTGCAAACACACATAAACTGAATAGAAATGCTTGTAACTTTTTGTGTTTTATGTTCCCTAACAAAACATCAAAACTAAATTTACTTAAACTCTTTATTTTTGGGGAAGAAACACTGAATAATTCTGTGCTGTTCGAGACATATTTTGCAACAAAGTCTTAGATCACTCACAGTATAATTAAGCTATGAAATCCATTAGAAATGCTAAGTATAATTTAATTGGGAATGTTTTGATTTAAAATTCCTTTGAATAATGTAGGCTAATCCTTACAGAAAGAGAGGAACGGAGATCAATCTGTTTTTTTCTGTTTTTTAAGGAACACATGCAAAAGCTTGGAAAATACAACATGGGCTAAATGAAGTTACTGGAATGCTAAGTATCACTTTATCAGGGATATTTAGTTTAAAATATATATGAATAATCTGAACTATAGTACATTGTTGTAGAGAGCAAAGATTAATTAGTATTTTCTGGTTTTTTGGGCACATAGAAACTTGCACATATAACACAGTAGATTTTACATGCATGTGTTTTGATTTGGTCATGGTGATCCATAGATTTAATTACAGCCCTTCCAATGTAATTCCCAACACATCTTGTTTGCTTTAGTGGCTCTTTTTCTTGACTGCCTTTTCATTAATTTTATTCTCCACCTCTGTGTGTTACAGCACAGAAAGGACATCTTTGAACAGTGAAGGCAAGCCACAGGCCAGATTTCTGCAGGGATTTTTGAAGAGGAAAGGGCAGTAAGTAAGAAGAACAAAAGGACATTATTTTTATAATGAACAATCATTCTCAATGTGAAGTATGGCTGAATACTTCTTCAAACAACAAAGAACCTTACTTTTATTAGTCATAAAAAGTAATTTGTTTCTTTCAATGCTAATCATCGTGCCACGGTCTGTGAGTAATTTTTTGTGTGGCGCTCAAATTGTAGAAAACCATGAGTCTGTCCTGCGGAGAACTTGCTTGTATTGTGGATGGCATGAAAGCTGAGAATGCTTCTCAGCTCACTTGGGAAAACAAAATGGAGACAAGACATTAAAAATGGGTTTGATGTAGACAATGACAATCTTTTTCACTCAAAAATCTCAAAACTTACTCAAAATATAGACTGTGCTGTCTAAACAAGTCCAACATTATCTAGGGCTTTCTGTATATCAGTACTGTGTGTCTACTTTTCCAGACTTTTTGCAGTCATGTGTACAATCTGATTGCTGGAATACTCCTTTTTCAGATAAGGTTTGTTTTATAGTTATTTTCTCACAGGATAGCATTACTTAGTACCAGAGAAAAGTGAGTTGGATTATCATCGTTACTACTTTTGCCACCATGTGGGACTCAAAAGCAATTTCAGTAACTTTAGACCACTAGGAATTTTACAGCATCCTACCTTGGTTTGGTTTAGAAACCTCAAGGGAAGAAATATTCGGCCATATCCTATCAAACTTTGGAGGATCTGCATGCATCAGGAAAAATCAGGTTTTGTTATTTACATCTGTGTTATTGTTCTAAACAGGCAAGCATATGGACAAAGACATAGATTACAAACATCTATTACTGTACTAGTCTAAGTTGCACTTGAACAGTACATGACTCCACAGTGAACAAGAAAACAAGCAATTGATGATTCCCAAAACACCAAATGGACATAAAATACTGTGCATAACAATTTATCCTCTGTGGTTTAAAATATAATTTTTCATGATGAGAAGATATCCTAGGGCAATATATATGGTTCCAACACCAGGAACAAAACAGGAACATATTCTGTTAAATCTGCTCTGCAGAGATAAAATGACAGTATCAGACAAATATGGATTTCTTATCAAAGACACATATCTTACCTTATCATCCTGTTTTAGGGCCTTTTGAGTGAATTACATATCTGTTATCGGAAGAAATATATTTACCAGTAGAGTGGGCCTTTTCTTCAGCTCTCAAAGCTTTTTGTGTTTCATCTATTTCCTATCACCTCTGCTGATATATTTTACAGCTTGATTTTTTTTTTTGTCATAACATTAAATGTCTACATTTGTTAGAAATCCTACGTAACGTGTTACTTGCATGAAGCATCTTGTGTTGAAGCAAAAGAATTATCTGTGTCTCTTTAGAGCTTTATCTCCTTTGGTTAATGTGTTATAGGGCTGGAGTAGTGGGGAGTGACAATCCTCAGCAGAAGAGTGCTGGGTGTTGGAGCTGAGAATATGTGAAGGGGATGGGGCCATTGTGGAGGAAGGAAAGAAAACTTTTTTTATTTTCCATTTCCATCTGCCTAGTTTTAAACATCAGACTTGGACCATGTTTTTATTATCTTCTCTGAGTACTGCAGTGGTTGTGTTTTCTCTGAGCCAAATAGAATTTTTCTTAATGGTCACATCAGCCTACATATGGTGATACTAGTGGGAAGAGAGCTATTCCTTCACTTCCATCTATGAGGAATTCAGTTGGGTAGTTGAGTAGATTGCAGTTGTCACAACTTGGTTGGGCATCAAGGGCCTAGGCTTATATGTCTTTATGAAGAAAATGTTTTTCACTGTTACGTCCATCTTAGTGGGAGACCTGCAGTGAAGCTGTGACAAAAAGACTGAGGCTTCAAATATCTGATATGGAAGGAGGACACCCCAAAGTTTCTTCTGACCCATTTGTCAAGGGTGAAGAGAAATTGGGTGGGTGGGGCTGTCTATCTCCAAAGTTCTCCCACGTAGAGAACAATTCAAGGAAAGGATGATGACCTGCACTGTGCCATTTACTGTTAGGTAGTCTTCTGCAATTGAATGGCTCAAGGTGTAATCTAATCACATAATTAGATTTTCGCATTTTTGTGCTTTTTCCTTATCAATCAAGAAAATAGAAAAACTGAGTCAGTTTGGTAGATTCTCAGTCTACGCATTGATTAAAAATAACCTGCCTCTACAGGTCAGATCCACCAATTCACACACATAGGAAGTGCAAACACAACAGTCAGGGTGTATGACAAGCTGTACTTACTGAGGTGGCATGATAACCCAGCCCATCCACTGAAAGACTCTACTACCATGCACCTGAGAGACCACCTTTCTCCTCCTGAAACACTGACTGACTGGTTATAGTAAATAAGTTTCAAGCATGCACAGGCAAATTATTTGCACAGTTAATTCACTGTTGAAATTCTGGTAGCTTTAGGAACACTTAGGTTTGACCTAAACATTTTAAAGGGACTGGACATTAGAGAATACATATAAAAATATATTAAAAAAGCAAAAGCAATCTTTATGGACTACATTGTCCTGCTGTCCCCTGAGCCTTTTTCTCTTTTAGCCCTTGTGCAGCATCAGAGTTATTGCAGAAAGCTGTTAACATTTCAGACTGGAGCTTCCAATATCCTCCTTGTGTTGTTAAGTATGGTGTGGCACACCTAATACAAAAATTCACAGGTATAGTGGTCTTCAACTGAAAAACCCTCTGTAATATGTAATTTAGTAAACTGCAGGTCCTATATAGGAAATCAGACACTTGACATAATTGGACTCGTATAATCAGTAAGATTTCATATATAATCTATTCTCATTACAATTTCTCCAAGTAATCTCATGTCCAAATAAAATCATTCCTTGTAAGGTAGAAAAAAATCAGTGTTACATATTTCTTAGTGATCCTATAAATGCTATAGATCTGTGCTTGTTTTAGCAAACTTACTTAAAATGGAGGTTGTGACTTACCACAAAATAATTAAAAATTCTCTGACCCTTTAAATTAGATAACACTGAGCTGAGTTTCTTAATGGACACCCAAAACAATAAAGAACATATTTACAGTGCCTGGAGATTACCAATTAAGTATTATAGCTAGTGATTATTACTAGTTATTAGTGATAATTATAACCATCTTAGAAGTGACTTCTGGAGGTCATTTGTTTCTTATGTTTGCTCATGGCAGGGTCAACTCTAAAGTTAGATGAGGTTACTGAGGGTCATATCCAGCTGAAACCAGCTGCTGCTTTGTAATGTGAGAGACTAATGAGACTTAATGCTTATATTATGTGATTTTTTTCAATCTTTAGTAAAGAGGATATCTTTTTCTCATATCCTTTTTCACAGACTGTATTATCATCAAGATTACAGGTTTCTTGATAAAGGTCTTTATTCATCTCCTTGAATTTATTTTTTTTTTTAAGGGAGATGACTTTTAAATGCTTTATCTAAAAAGATATGTGAGATGTCCAAGTCAAAGAATGTTGACTGTCATTCCCACATGTATATTGGAGCAGATGAGTCATGCTTTGAACAGCCACTGGGAAGATTCATTTAGCAGCTAGTTATTCTTTCACAGCAACCTGTGAAAATATTTCTAGTCTTTAGAGATTACCATGAAGGATTTTATTTATAGAGAAGTTGACTGGATAAACCAATCTTTTCCAGAACATTTCTATGTCTGCACACTGTATTTTGTAATTAGAGTCCTTATTTGCCAGAATAATTAAAGAATTCTGGTGTAGGTATTTCTATAAGATATCCTATGTAAATCTACTGTAATATATTCCATGACAGTTATTTGGGCAAACAAGGCCAAAGAGAGTTTCTGAATGTATGTTTTAGTGTTATTATTTGAAACTGAAGCTACTGTAGGCACCTTTAAGAGTGGAGGTATGTGAGCTGTTCAGTTGAGCAGAAAATCAGATATGACATTTTATATTTGCATTGGAACTTTTTGCATTTTTAGTTACTATTGTTCTAAAGCCAATTATATGTAGAAAATAACTATGGCAAAAAAATCTTACTTTCATGAAGTAAGGAAAAATTGATTCCATTATATTTATCAGATGTATGATAATTTCCTTTTTCCCTTCCCAATTTTTTATTTTTTTTTGGATATACACTATCAGAATTACTTCTGATATTAAACAACAAAAAATCTGTCTCAGTAATTCACTGGAAGTGCTGTCTGCATCATGGGCCACATCATAGTTTCAGATTGGGGAAATAAAGGAAATGACCGGGTAGTTTCAGCCCGATTCCAACCAGACAGCTGCACATGAAAAAAACCTGTCATGATCTTGGCAGGAATTCATCAGCACGTTGTTGGCTTCTCACTCCAACCAAGTAATGAGCTGATATTAAAAATAAAATGCATTCCCACTGAGAGGGGCTATCCTTCCTCGGGGATGAAGAGCAAGGGTGATAGAGTGTACGAACACTGTGATGGTGCCTGGGCATCTGTGCTCTACAGCAGAGTAGTGCCTTGTCATCTCCTAAACTGTGTCTGCTGACCCAGCCCACAAACAATGCATTTGCTGTAAATTAATACTAATAAATCAGTAAGTCTTAAATCATGCTCGCTAATGGCAAACAGGGAGCACTTGTGTTGGCACCTATAATTATTAATTTAATTTTTAATAACAATAAGGAACCCTAGTGAAATATTCTAATTAAGGTGCTTTCTAACTTTCCTTCCATTTAAAACATGAAAAAGTATTAAAAAATATGTCAATGTAAACTTGGTGATTCAGTAGAAGTTCATGTCTCCAGCCATAAAAAGCTGCCCTTGCCACTGCCTTTTTTAAACCATGAGTAGGCAACAGTAAATAGCTGTTCTAGGATACTAAAAAATATATGCTGGGCACAGTGGAGTTACGAGAGTGGTTTTAGGTGTTAATATTGAACAAAAAATTTAGGAATAATAAAAAATATTGTTCACTGAAATCAATGGCATATTTAGTGATAGAATAATTGGGTGTGTTTATATCAGATTGTGTTCCACCACTTATTGCAAGCATCACACTATCATTATTACAGCATTTCTATCTCCTTTTGTCTTTTTGCAGTCATGATAACCTACCTTACATAAAATTTGCCTTTCAGCACTTTCATTAAACTGCCAAATTGAAAGCATTGGAAGAGAAGAAATGCTGATTTTTTTTTTTAATCACCCCTTTATTTTATTAAGTTTTAAAAAAATACTTGCCAATATTAGGCAATCTTTCTTGGAGCAATGTAGGAAGTTTCCTACCTGTTCCTTTGAAGAAAGGAGAATTCTGCATAAATGTGAAGATGTGGTTGTTTTATGGCAGCTCCTCAGCCATAACAGCTTTTTTAACTGTTGGAAGAATTTAAATGCAATTAGTCCTTTATGTGTCCACTTGTTGTAGACTAAAAGAAAGTGATCTTTTTAGAGGATTAAAAAAAAAAGATAAATCTAGCTCTGGAAACTTTCAGATATCAGAAAAAAAGTCCATTGACTTGAATAAATTGTTGGCTGATTCTCAAACTAATGAGGGCTGAGGGAATTCTTCAATTTTAAGTATTTCCACTAAAATGTTTGTAGAAGTGCATCAAAGTGAATCAAAGTCTTTTTTGAATGAAATATTTAGGTACAAATCTCATGAAACAAAAAGTAAACAATTTTGTTGATAGTTTGCAGGGGTTGCTCCTTTTTATTTGGATTGGTTCTGTTTCTTCCTACAAAAATGCTGAAGTTGGCTGGTCAGTTGGGATTATTGTACAGTAATACACAACTGATGAACAGGAAATCAAGACCTTTTTTTAATAATTGCTATGCTGACTTGGAAATCTCATTCTTTCCTTATACTCTGTGAAATAAACTGATTACATGTCTAAGGGACAGAAAAAAAAGGTGAGAGGGTAATATATAGAAGTATATTTTTTCCCCAGCAGTTTCTCCCTAAGCTTTATAGCTACTTAGATATTAAAAAAAAATTGTTGTGGATCATATCTGCTCTCTATAAACTTCCTTGAGTAACTGAGCTAAACTTGCATATTGTAAGTGCTATGTGTTTTGCATCGGTACCATGGTACGTATTGAAATGTTGATATCTTATTTTCTATAGTGTCCTATCATTTCATTGTTTATTAATGGTTAAAACAAAGATAACTGTCAACTGAATAATTTTCCTTATATTACAGAAAATCAAAAAGCATTGAAAACACTATTTGACTGATAGACTGTTTTTAACTAACCCATGATGATGATGGTGAACTGGAATGAAGAATGAGAAACAATACTGAACTGTCAGCGTCCGTGTCTATGAGACTGGTGAGAACAGCTCTTCTTATCTGTTAAAATTGGTGGATCTGGCAAAACAAAAACTGAAACAAAGGCTCTCCCAAATCCCATCCCAACAACCTGTCAGTGCTCCCTGGAGCAGCATTCTGACCCTGCACTTGAATCACTCTGCTGGGATGTTTTCTGCTCAGCGCTGGGGCCAGTTTTGCTTCCTGAACTTCAAGGGTGACATCCTAGTTACACAGAAAAAAAAATGGCTTTGTTGTGAATCCTACCAGGTAAAACTGCCCATTATGTCTTTTATTTGGACTGTTAAATTTCTTTCAGATCCAGTGTTCAAATGAGTATATCATACCATAAAGGCTATCCGTATTTTCTTTCAGTTCAGTAATTTTTTAATATAATGGAAAGTCTAATTTTTAAAGCAAAAGATTCTGAGTGCTTCAAAGTACTAGAGTAAAAGAGGGAAAACAGATACTGTTACTGGCTTGATGTTATAATCAGTTATTTAGATAAAGTGATTGCCTTAGACTAGGAGCCTGATTAACAGTATTATTTATTAAAAGGTCAGATTTGGATAAAACGGAATTGCAATTAGAACATTTTGCTTGTATGTCCAAAATAATAGATATAGTCTGCAGACAATATTTAAATGTTCTAAGGAGATAAACATCTCAATGGTCTCTCAACAGTACAGCTTTCTGTAAAACTTGACCTCAAATAATAATAGAAAAGTAATGTACAACCTAGTTATGCATGTTTATATCCCACTGTCGTATGTGGGTGTTGTGTATATGCTCTAGTCCAGAGCTTGGCATTGTAATAGCCTTGATCGCACGATTGTAGATTTAATGAGAGAACTTCTTGATTACTGCAAGGGGGCAAAATCAGGTCCAAAATACCTTGCGTTGTTATTAAAAAGAAAAAAATCTGCCAGTATTTGCTCTCACAACCTTTTAAGATAGGTACTTACCACATTAAAATTTCATAACAAATATGTAAAACAAATAAAGCTACACTCATCCGTGCACAATTTTAGTTCCGGAAAAACACCTACTAGATTTTTCAAGGTTAAGAAAACAATAAAATAAGAGAGTGCCCATTTGGTCTTTTCTCTTTTTTAACTTCTGTGTCTGGCATTCATTATCATAAAAAAAAGTTCTCTTCAATTGAAATTGGCTATAAAGAAGAACAAAACCACAGAGAACAAAGCAGAAAATACCGTTTGATTATTGTGATTGCATCTTGCACTTGGGTGCACGGTCTGTCTCTAAACTCTGACTCATCTGCCAGCAGCAGGCTTTAAGGTGATAATCACCCACACAGAGCTATTTGCACATCATGTCTATCCTATCCTGTATCTAATTATACCCTTTATAACAAACTGTTTAGCATAATTAGTGGAGTTATGCTTTACAGGAAAAAAGATAGAAGCCATAGTTTAGAAGATTCAACTTTTTGAAGGCACACATGTACAGATTAGTGACTTTGGTATCTGGTCACGATAATGAACATTTTGATGCATTGCTCTATGTAAAATTGTACAATCATTATTTTAGCAAGTAAAATAATGTACTTTTCAGAATATTTACATACTGTATGTAAGCATTGCTTAAAATTATGAAATGGTTTTGGGACTCATTAATTGCTAACACTTTCACCAGTATTTTTCCAGACATGGCTGAAAAATGCTGAAAGGGCCAGCATTGTAATCAAGAATGCTGGAAATTATCAGAGAACCTATAATTCAACTGATAGACAACAGCAGGTACAAATGACCTTAATGGGAAAGCTCTGATTTTTTTATTTGTTTTGTTTCCTTCTAGATGATCAGAAAGGATGTTTACTAATGACCACTCTTTCTTGGTGTTCAAACTTTAATAATAAGCTGCTTTAACACAAGATCTTTTGAGGTAAAAAAGGAATAGAGAATAATACATATATGTGCACACAGGAATATATTTATTTTTCTTTGTTTGTTTTCATTGCAGTCTTAAAAGTGTTAAATGAACATTACTGATGTTGGCATCTTCTTTGTATGCTGGCAATTTAGTCTTTCTAACCCCTCTGCCCCAGCCCCATCCTCCTTATATAGCAGGAAAAGCTGGAAGTACACAAAAGCCAATACCCCCCCTGTAGGTGTTTGTTGCCAGGCAAAATGAAACCCAAACTGCTTCTCCTAAGAATAACTTCCTGTCCCCAGATGGGGGAAAACTGCTGATACGAACACAAATACTGTATTAGCATAGACAAAAGAAAAAATCATGCAGAATCCATTAAAGCAGCCACAACTAATTAATCTTGTTTGGATTTGTGTGTTAATTGTACTTCTGTTGACTTCTCTTTGAGACCAGGATAAATTTATGGATTCTATCCTTGTTTAACAAAAGTTCTGCTATTTCTGTATTATCAGAAAGATGTTCAGAACATTGTGCAAGTAGAATTATTTCCCCCATGAGCTATTTAAGAAAAAACACATGGAAAAAACAAGCAGAGTATTTACTTGAAGAGATGCTCATGCTTCACTCTTTTCAGGAAGGCAAATAAATTTGTTGAATTCTACAACATATCATTCCAAGACATTTACAGCAGACTAATGATAAAACATAGACTTGCAGAAACTCTTGTATTTCCTATGGAATTTTAAACGGAATTTTCTCCATTTGTAATAAAAAAACTGTACTAATCACTCCAGTGTAAAATACAAAGAGGTCAACAATGCATCCTTTCAGCTCACCATTGTTCAAAAGGTATTTGAGTTTCCCTATTAAGTTTTCAAAGGCCAACATCTGCTGATGCTCAGAAATGGTAGATGTGGTGACGAAGGCTGTATGGAGTGTGAAGTGAAAACACAACCATATAGACCATGCAACACAATACTAAGAAACTATAGCACAACCAAACTCCAAAGACCTATTTTCCCATTCATCCCATTTCTATTATTAATCGCAGGAATATTTCTGACATAAATTTCTCTTTCATTTAGTTCTTTCTTTTTTGTTGTTATAAAATATATGTCTAAACACAAAGTTTTGAAAACAGCATATCGCTATGAATTTGCAGTCATGCAAATACCAAAGGAGACACTAGAGCTGGAAAATGACATTTTTAAGATTGAAGACTTTCATTTGCACATTATTGTCATTGATGCTGTTTCACTATTTAAAGCTGCAAAACAGATGCCGTGGTGTTCAGCTTTAACACTGCTCTCACTTGCAAGGGAGATAGTTTTGATGGCATTTAACTTGCTGTCTAGAGCTTAACAAATCAGTGCCATTCATGAGCTTAAGTAAACTGACTTGATTTATAAATTGATAGACCTGACCCTGCATCATAAGAAGCAAGACCATTTTACCCAAATTATTAAAAACTTTTCAGTTGGATACTGAGCATGGCAAATTGCATTTTACAACTGTGATATTTTATAATTGAGATAGTTCTGCATTATACAAGTTGTGTCTAAACTATCTGCAAAGCTGAGGCTGTGAGGAATATTCTTTCAGTCAGCCACAACAGGATCCCATTTCTGCCTCCCTGCTTTATTTGTAATTAGCTAACGTGCCATGACTGTGTGCACTTCTCTGCTATGGAATTCAGCTGAGACCCACAGTTGAGCTGCTGTGCACTTAGTCCCTTCAAGTGTTATATTTAAGTAACCATATATTTCATTGATATAGTGGTCCTTTACATAACAGTGTCATGGTTTTGTTATAGTTTAAGTATAATATTTTGGTCCTTTAATTGCATATAGGAAAGCATTTTTTCTGTGAAGGAATACAATTCTGTTTATTTTGTGGAGTAAAGCCGAGTTCAAAGACCACTACAGTTAATGCAGATATCAGCAGATATGCTGTATTTGCAAATCTACTTCATAAAAACGAAAGCTATTACATTTATAAACTCTTCCATTTGCTCTTTGGATTTACACAGGTGTACACACAGGAAAATTAATGGTCCTATACCGTTATTAGCAAAACCTTTTTTTTTTCAAGATGCTCAACAAATATTTTCTGTGCAACAGTGTCTTAATTCTTTGTGTAACACTCCATTTCATAAGACTCAGTCTTCATCTGGTGATAAAAACCAATCAGAAAATCAGTGGTTGAGTGCAGACGAGTTGTCAGGAGTGACATTATCTCTGACCACATAATAACAGTTACATGTTAATGCAACAGAGGAAAGCCAGCATGGAGCCCCTACACTATAGGGCACCTAGTCAGAGAAACATTATCTACAACAGAAAGGGATGTTGGGAAATTAGATCCATGAAGCTGAATGACAATGCAAAACAATACTGGTTTTATTACTTACTACCAATACTGGAAATACTGGGTATACCTGCAGAGAAAAAAAAAAACACAAAGAAGTATAGTTAGCTGTTTGCTTTAGTTGGTTGAGCTATTACATCTAAAATTCTGAAAACAATTTTAGAATACTGTGGTGGCAACTGCCAATATGTACCCAGACCTTCATAAATGCAGAATCTTTAGATTCTTCAGTATGGGGCTGCAGGGACCACTAAAATGCATTGACAGATGGGACCTACACCAGCTCTCTGTACTTCATGAATTTGTTCAGAACACTTTTGTATTCCAACTAACCAGTCATTAGGTTTAATGCTCTAGATAAAAATATCAGTCATGCATGTATTATGCAGATCTAGGAGAGTAATTTAACCAAGGGATAGATGCATTGCTAACTGCTTTGGCCAGCTGCTTAAGTCAGTTGATACCTTCTGTTGCATTAATTGTATATAGCTATTTTTTCCTCTTTTACCTGACAGTTATCTAAATTAAGCTATGTAAAAGAAATGTAATTGAGTGAAACAATCTAATACAGTAGGTTGGCCTTATTGGCTAAGGATCTCATTGATTTTTTTTTTCCTCTGTTCATTTCATTCCTAAACTGAATTAATGCAAGGAAACCATTCTAGAGGCAGGTGAGATTTACCATAAGAGGTGGGGCTGCTGAGGAGTAAAATTCCTTTACTGGATAAGCAATGTGGGATCTCATGTTGTATGATGGAGTCCCAAGACACCTTCTTGTCAGGTCTGCCCTGAAATGTGTGTAGCACAAAAATATGGACATGAATCTTTCCTGAAATGCCATTTTCTTAAAATTAAATGCCATTGTTAATGGACTATGGCTAGTCACTTGGGTTAGTCAGAAACTGCAGATCAATATTTAAATCCTGGATATTTGCATCTTCTTGGTTAAATACATTTTGCCTTTTTTATGTTTTATTGACTTTTTTTGATGGCACACATTTTGCTCCAGAAATCTGTCCGTTTCTCTGTTAAACATCTGCTATACTTCTTTCAACATCTATCTTGAAGTTCTGTCTAAGTCAGAGGTGGCCCCATTCTGCAAAATAGCAAACTGGAGTGAAGGAATGTCTTGAGGATTAATGATATTCAATGTACACATGGTTGTAGAGTCAAGTTGGGAACACTTCTAACTCGTGGCATGGCTAAGACAATGCCGAAGTAACAGAATTTGCAGACTGGGGACAGATCGTTGTTTACAAACTTAATTTTATTTCCACTTCTGCTGAGATTAATGTATATTTTCCAAAATTTTAGCATCATAAGGTATTGAAAGCTAAATGAAAATATCATCATAATAGAACAATACACTCCTAGTTCTAAAAGTAACAAAAAGTTTTTTTCAGTTAGGATAATGTAAGAGAACTTCTATCCCTTTCTCTTATATGTCAAAAAGACAATCAATTTTCAAATCATTTTCCCTGAAGTTTCAATAGCAGCTTGTTTAAACTTTTGCAAGTCACTGTAGCTGGTTTCAATTAGCAGGATCCGTTTTTGTTTATACACTCATGGAACCTACACAAATATTAGATAAAATACAAAAACTGTGTTCTCGCACCGACACTTTCGCTGTGAAATGGTATTTGTATTTCTTCTAGGTATACTCCCCCGCCTCAAACCTCTCTGTCTCCTACACACACACACAAATATCCTTTCCTTTCTCTACTGAACAGATTGTAGCAAAGGGAGAGGTTTTCCTGCAAGTCTGCTCTCCTCATTTTACTGTATTTCAAAATTTTCAATGAATTCATAGTAATAAATGCTTCCTGGGCAAAGGATAATGAACACAAGGTGCCTGCTAGTCTGAGGGGCTCTGGATTAACCTTGCAAAGGTGTCTTCAGGTTCTGTTTCAAAAGCTATTTCTGTCCTTTTTCTATTTCTGTGTTGGTGTGATCTTCTGTAACCAGACTGATTTTTGTAATACCAGGTATCCCTGTGTGTGTGGTGACTGGCCTTGATAGTGCACTACTTTATGCCCTTCTTACTAAAGAGAGTGAGAATGACACCTCTGAGTTTGTCTGGAAAAGAGTTGGTTATGTAGGGCCATGAAGCAGGATCTATTAGCACTCTGTGAAAACCGCACATATGATGGGAAAATTATTCTTAGAACGAGTGTTTTTGTGAGATCTGGAGTTACATATTGAGGCTAGCTCTTGAATTCAGCTGAGCTGTATTTGGTGCAAGTCCTTAGGTAACGAGGCACAGGAGGTGTGATCCTCTCTCTCTCTCTCTCCCTCTCTGTCAGTGTGGAGGCAGGCAAAGGCCTAAGCACACGGATCCTCCTGTGCCACTGCTGCTGGGGACACCAACACACTGCAGAGTCATCCCACCACTGCTGGCCCTTTGGATGGACCTGCTACGTTATGTGACATGGATCGTTTCCAGTCAGCCTTGTATTGAAATCTGTGAGTACTTTGCAGCAGTGAAGTGATGTGAAAAGGTTATAGAGATGAAGGATCAGGCCCATTACTTCCCTTGATGCACAACTCTATTCAGCCAGGCATAAAGAGCAAATAAAACCAAGTGATTGAATTCACATATATTCAGTTGTTAAACCAAAGCAATGTTCAATCTAAATTATCTTCCAGCTGAAATCACTGGAATGGTTATTAATGGTAATAGTTTTAGAGTGAGGAGACAGTGAGTAAAGCATGCAAAGAAAGTTCAGGGGTAGCTACTGGCCCCAAAATGGCAAACATTGCACTAAAATGTCACTAATACTATTTATTATTTTTGACCTGACTTGAAGGTGGTGGTTTGGTATATTACATGTTCACTGTAAGTGCATCTAAATATATATGCATTACTTGAGAGGAAAAAAATCTGGTATTTTCCTTTCATACGATCTTCTGAATCTGCCCTGTAATTTTCTCGTTCCCCCTGCTTCCAGAAATGGGTTGTTTTAGCTCTTAGCTACCATGGAGCTGGCTATTGAAAATGAAGAAAAAAAGCAAATCACATGCTAGCAAAGAGAGCCAGTTTTTGATTTGTTCTATAGTTTGTGTCAGTGTGAAATCCGTAACACAAAGTAAGAGGATCGAGATTTCTGTGAGAAGGGTCACACTGCTGCTTCCAGTCTCCTACCCTGCAGACCTTCTCAGCACCTTCATTGTCAATGCCCATGTGAGCGTCTGCCAGCAGCACAATTAATGTAGCCAGGCTGCACCTCTTCCTGGGCAGGGAGTGTGTGTGGAATGAAGAAATTATTCTGTCAACTCAGTCTTGGCTACCATCTTTCCCATGGGCTTGTCTGCCTCTTCTCCATCACAACTTAAATGTGCACCTGCCATGTGACAGGGAGCCAGGGACAGGGTCCTGTTGCTATCAAAACACTACACTCAGCTCACAGCTCGCTCACATTCAGGCAAAGGGTGTCCCCAAGAGCTCAGTGAATCATCCAGGTGAGATCAATACAGCCCAGAGACTCAGAATTAGGATTGTTGTGAAGGCATGGCTGGATATGATAGCAAATAATGCAGTCCAGATATGAATCTGTATTAATTGCTGATCAAAGCTGTGTGAGAGCTTTTCTGACAAAAGAGATGTCTTTATAATTACACTCCCCACCACACATTTAACTCTTCAACAGGAACAAAATATAGAGCCTTTTCTGGCAAAGAGTCAGAGCAGGTAGGTCAATGCCACACCCAATCTTTTGGTAGAATATCTGTGCTGCAGCATCACAGCACTCCCTGCAGTGAGTCTTTCTTCCCTCTGCAACTCCTTCACTGAGGCATGATTGCAATATCAGATCCTCAGCATCAATATCAGAAGTTCTGGATTCTCTAGTAATTTAAAGCTCTGAGAAGCTAGAGGATCCCGGCATCTTGTAACCCCTCAAAGGGAGTGATCATTATGATCACAGGGCTAAACTTTTCATGTATTGCTAAACCTGTATTCAAACAAAGGACCACACTCTGTGAAAGAACATTCTTAGGAAATTTCACAGGTTTCATTCAAGGGCCCTGGAGCTCCTGCTACTGTTAATTTTGCACTTGTTTGCTCTGTAAAGATTGAAAATCTTTCAATTCCCAGAAAAAGAACTGCTTAGATGAAGTTTGTTATCCCTCACCTCTGCTTTCTCAAGTGATATTACCAGAAATAAATGGGACAGAGGAAATACTTAGTTATTGCTTTATTGGGTAACACCTTTTCAAATTTGGACTTTTTCTTGTTATATTTTAGTGAGTCCAAATCAGTATTGAAAACTCTGTCTGGGAAACTCCCAGTGAGATCAAAGGATTTTTTTTCCAAAAATTTTATTGGTAGAATGTCAGAAACTTTGAAAAGCCCAAAAGTTAGTCCACTTATAGCACCTTGAGTATCTTAAAACAGAAACTTTGCCTTCCCATGCTGCTGCTGCTTAAAGACTGGAACTCTCTTTCATTTCACCTCTTCACTGTATATGGCAAAAATAGAGTTGTTTGAAGCCAGTGACGTATGGAAGCAATTCATTTCCCAGCAACAGATGCCACCATAACCAGCACAAACAACCAACTCAGCAGGGTCATGCAAGAGGGTAGAATGCTGAAGAATAATTTTTCAAGCCCTATTTAAAAAAAACACAGCACATTATTTATAGTGCATTGTTTTTCGGTACACACCTGCAATGTTTTGCTGGCTATTGCACTGGATACCTCATTGAAGGGAAGTTAGTTTATCACTTGCAGTTTTTCCTGACATTCCTGTCTACCTGAATGCTTTTGATACACTGCAGTTTTGCCCTCACCACTAGGCTTCCCAGCCCAATACAACTGTTGTATGACATGTTCCTGTGGCTTTATATCTTCTGTAAACTTCATGGGCTAAGATTAATATGTAATATAAAATGGGAACAATAAGAAGCTTTGCTGTTTTTTAACTTGATATTGATTCATAACTTCCTTTTTCTCTTTGAAAGATTTATCAAAAGCATCAAGGAGCAACATTTTACATCCTAAGTGTGTGTCCCACTCCTTCGAATTGAATTATGAAGTAGGCACTGGAAAGCTCCTTCCAGTTGTTTGGGAGAATGGGGCCCTTAGAAAATGGGACACTATCTACTTTGAGTCTGCTTTGACAGGATGGCAGGATGTGTGATCCTTTCAGTCAGAGGGATCCATGCTACTTGGATTTCTGAATAGAAAGCACAACTTCCTGGCCAACTTCATTTATGCTGATACTTCAAGATGGCTTTGTGTCAGCAAATATTTACAGGGAAAACTGTGAACAAAGATGAGGGTAACCAGTGCAGTTCTGTAAGTGCCATAATTTTTGCCAGAAACTGTTTCTGTCACAGCTGTGACACAGGGACGCCTCGTAAGTCTTTTCCCATTCAGGGAGGATTAAGGCTGTGCTGCTGAAATAGAAGCTGTACAATCGGAGAGGGACCCAACTGCAGGAGAAATTCAGTGAACTGACTGAGACTGCCTAACTCTTGACTGAAAAGAATCATCGATGTTTCCCATGTCCTGGTCACTTCTGTTTCATGTTGAACTATGAATTAGCAAAGTCATGTAACAGCTGGGAAGTGGTTTTCCCAGAGTGTTTGGGTACTTCTTGTACAGGTTATTGGTTGTGAAGGGATTGACACAAAGCAAGCAAGCTTTGATGCATGGCAGCTCAGTGCAGTCTTAGACAGCACTGTCTGAACAGAAGTGCCAAAGATGATCTAAACAACGGGAGGAAGAAAAGGGCTAGTGCTGTCAGACACATACAACTGCTGAGGAGAAAAGCTATCCTGTAATACCAAGTTCAATAAGTTCACTTTGTGTGTCAAAACATATTGCAGAAAAAACTATCCACAGAATGTGGCAGCAAAAGGGAATGAATGTAATCACAAAATAGTCAATAAAATAAAGTGAAAATATAAAATAAATGTTAGGTGGATATAAATGCAGAAATAGTGCATTCGTTAGTGCCAGTAAACAACAACAAAATAGTGCATTTGTTAGTGCCAGTACTCACTATCTTTCACAGGTAAATCATGGAAAAATGTTTTGCATTCTCCTGAAAAACTCATGATGACTTTAAATGAGAAGGACACAGAAAACAGTTTTATATTAAGGTTTATGCTTTGATTGCAGAATAATCTGGAATGGCTTGTGTTTCATGAGCTGTACCTTGAAAAGGTATGATAAAGTCTTATTAGTCACAAAAAATGGCAAAACAGAACAATAAAAATAACAGAAGTTATAGTTGGGAAAGATTTGGAAAAGGACATTATGCTTCTTGTTGGAGCTGAGCAAATTTCCCAAGTTCAGAGAATCTCAAGAAAAAGTATCTTTTTGTTTTGTGAAAAAAAGAAAAAAATTATTTGAGTGTTTCATTTATACAACCATTTTTAACTGTATCTTATTTAAGATACATTCACTTCCTTAGATGTAAAAGACAGACTTTTAAAATTGGAGAAAGGATGTATTACTGGGACACTGTGTTACTGGATTATATAAAGTGTCCCCAGGGAATTGAAGTAATATATGAAGGGAAGTTTAGGCTCAAACCAGATAAGTTACTTCTATCAACCTGTTCCAGCAACTATTTACAGAATTCACACCTGACTAGGGAGGGTATAATGCTAGGGCTGCATTGCTGACCACATGATGGAGATGGTGACATAAAGGCAACAGAGTAAGGGAAATTACATTGGCTGTGCATAGTTTACACAATACTGCAAAAGTTCATATGCTCCAACACATAAGGCCTTAAATCAGAAAGTGACAAAAGACATGAAGCTTTTACATACCATAAATGATGCTGCTTGTAGCCAGTAATCAGACAACCCACAAGAAGAGAAGCTGATTTAGTTCTGGAGTAGGTACATAGGACCCAAGTCAAGAAGTAGTTATCAGAGAACCACTTCTGGACTGAAAGTCAACATGTTGTTGAGAAGGAAAAGGATAAAAAAAAAATCCACTGCAGTAATATTTAAGTTTGAGAGAGCGAGGAGCGAACAGATTAAAATGAGGAAGTTAGCTAAAAGAAAAATGAAAAGAACATCTAAAAAAAATATAATGCAAACAGCACGGAGGCAAGCTGGAGACAAAGTGTATGAGAGACTCAGAATAATCATATATAACTCATATAATTTTTTTTTAAATTATAAAAATCAACTCTCTTTTAAGCAAAAAAACCCAAACCCCAAATTCAAAACAGCAGAATGTAGATGATTTTGGAAAGACACCCTTCAAAAGTGTAAGTCTTCTCAATGAAGAAAGATAGGGGGGGAAAAAAGCATAAAATCTGTCAATTTAAATATAAACCACAGTATTTTGAGAATCAACTTTCTACAGACACAAAGTTAATAATTCTTTTTTGTTAAAATAACCACAGTAGAAGCAAGAGGCCTCCCAGAGAGATGACTGGGAAGACAAGCAATCAAGGTATTATTAATATTATGGTTAATTAATAATTTAATATTGAATGAAATGGTTTAATTAATATTGGATTTAATAATTTAATTGAATTTTAATTGATATTGAATTTAATTAATTGTTTTCACCGATGTTTGCAAGAAAGAAGGTTAGAGAGATTCTCACAATCTGAGGAACCTTCTCAATGTTTGTCATCATCTGAAGTAAATGATATCTAACAACAAGAATTGCCATAAGGAGATGCACACCTAAGAAGTATTTTAAAGGAACTTAAGCATGATGTTTCTGAACTAACTCCTGTAGCATATAACCTGTTGCTTTTGCCAGCCTTGGTGCCAGAAGAAATGTTTTAACTGTGGTACCATCTTAAAAAAGGACTCAAGGACTGATCCTTATAGTAACAAAATATAAAGCAAACACATTTTTATGCTATTGTAAAAGAGCCATGTTGTTATCATGTCTAGAGTATTGTGTAGTTTTAGCCTAACCGAATAAAAAAAATAACACCATGGACCCAGAAGAGACCAAGAAAGCACAGATGACCAGAGATGTGGCACAGTTATATGGTAAGATGAAACAGATCAGGATTTGTCATTTAGAAAACTGGAGTGGATAATGTCAAGTCTATGTCATGATACATGATATAACAGAGCTAAATAGGGGTGTGTTATTCTGTGTTCCTTCCTATCTAAGGAGGTACAGGCTTAACCATTTAAAAACATTTAAAACAAACAACATACCTTTAACTCATTGTCTCATTAAAATGTGAAATGTATTGCCATAATATATCACTGAGATCAAGATTATATCAACTGGGTCTCTCCTGCTGCTCGGCAGCGAGCAAGCACTGCGAGTATGATGGAGGGTCCAGCTCAAAAAGCCAGGTTATTGCTGGTGACTGAGAAGGCAAAGAATAAATCCTTCCTGCTTCTTCCTGTTTGCCATAAATTCCTGCTGATGATCATTGCTGAAGTCAGGATTTGAGGGGACGTGGAGTGTTTGTCAGCTCCAACAAGGTTACGTTTTCATGATGCTATCATCATAATAGTAATAATAATAAACCTCAGAAATGACTGCCTGTTATTTGTGAAACATTTTGATTTTTGACATAACTGTGTATCTGATGAAATTCACTGATGTGCTTTTAACATAAAATTGTTTTAACAAGCTTCAGACATCCTTTAGGTAGGCACTAATTCCACTGTTCTGTCTGGTGTGTGCTCAACTGCCTGGAAAGCAGGTAACTGACACAGCAAGCTGCATTTAGCAAGATCTGTGTTTTCATGTTCAGATGTATCTTGTCACTAGGTTAGATGATTGCTGGGGTAGCAACTGCATTTTTTAATGTATACATATATTTATAAAATATGTCCTGTGTGTGTATACGTATGTATGTGTGTATATGTAAAAATACATAGATAAAATCAACCTGGTAAATCTCACAATTTTTCCCAAACAAAGCTTTAAACTATTAATTCTTTGAGCCACACTCACTTTTTATATGTGAAAAAAGTGAATACTCTTACAAAATGTTTCTCCCCGGCTTCTTGGAAGTTCTTTTTTTTTTTCTGCTCAGTAAGAATTTTATCATAATTTCATGCCCCCACACTTCATGGTTTGTTACTTGGTCTATTACTCTCACATTTTACTTGATAAGGTCCTGCTTCCTATGATCTTCATTTCTGAGTTTTGATTCTTCACAGCTGCTGCTTTGAAGTCTTAGATAACATTCTGAGCATTGCACACTGTTCCTGGTTTTAAACTTTTCATTCAACTGCAGTTCATAGCCCTGTTTCTCCCAAATAACTTTTCAATAAATGTTACATTCTAATAATCTAAAATGAATGTTTTGCTTTTAATCAGGGTAAAACTGTGTGCTCCTTTCTTAAAAATAGCTAGTAACTTCTGTCAAAAGGTTTATTCTCATTTTCAATCCTTTCTTCAAAGGAATTTAAGTCTGTTACTCAGTTCAGGAGGATTCTGAGTCACTGTGTATTTCATATGCGCAGGAAAGTGAGAACTGATGCTCATACTTGTCTTCGTGCCCTCTCTTTCACCACCATATTCTTTTTGACCCGATCCTGTCGAGGAGCTGGAAATGCAGCTGTCAGTAACTTACTCCTCTGGATAATATGAAAGTGTGCTGGAATAGTGAGTGTGTGTGTTGTTGAATGGCTATTAGCTGGAACCAAGCAGATATAAAACCTCAGGTTTAGCCCGTGCTTTCCCTCTTGATCTACAAGATCTACAAGAGTGCAGATGAATCTGGACTGCAGGTCACCATCAGGTAAATGTTTCCCAATCTGTAGATCTTTAGGTATTAATTTGAAAAAATTGGTCTGTGGTTTTTTTTTTTCACTTTCTTGAATGGATGAAAAATGAGCAAGGACCTCATCTCACATGTTGAGCTGAGGGTGTTTCCAATCTTAAGGCAATAAGGATGTATGAATGGAGAGCTGAGGTCACCGTGGCTGGAGCAGTACTGCAGATATTCGCACTGTTTTCTCTCCTCTGTGTGTTTTTTATGTGAAGTCCTAATTTCTTCATTCCTTAGACCTTTCTGTGCAGTGTCCACAGATATGTCTATGGATACAAACATGCAGTTCTCATGCAAGTTATTTACAACCATGTGAGAGCACAGATGATGTATACTTAGCATTAACACTTGCAAATTGACACCTTGTTCAATTATACACACTGAGCCATAAAGAAATGACAAACTTTTGCCAGCATTAATCTTTCTTCAGAGTCATGATATGGGGCAGAATTATAATAATGAAATATCCTTATTATACAAAACTACTTACAGATATTAGCAGTGCCCTTAGGTATAGGCAGATAAGAACCAGGGCTCCATGGTCGGCCCTGGTAATTCTTCTTGCATTTTCCACAGTCTGGGCCAGTTGTGTTATGCTCACATTCACAAAGTAGTCTTTTGTTTTCTTCTTTACAGCCAGTAGCATGAAGGTTGCACTTACACCTATTTTTAGAAGGCAAAAATAAAACAAAGTGGGATATTATTTAAGGGTGAGGTGGGTTTGAGTTCAGATCCTCTTAGAAATGCATGTCCTACAGCAACCACTTGATTTCTGTGTTGTGGCTGTAGTATTGTTCTGCCATGCTTTGTAAATAGCAAGTTGCAGTATATTCAGCTTGCACAGGTCTAAAAGTAGAAATTTCACCACGACTCCAAGATGCTGAATCCTTTCTTGTTTTCAGTAATTCAGCTCCACTGAGAGCAACTAAATTATTCATAATTTTTACTACAGACTGGTCTATAATCTTGTAGGAATTCAAGAGTTACTCACTATTCCCCGGAACAAAACAAGTGCTCTGCTTATGTTCTTAGAAAATCTGGCCCAAATTAAGATCCGAATTAGGCCCTGAGAAAACAGACTTCAGTTAAATATCCTCTGCAATGCCACGCTTTGGTAGAAGGGAAGCTCACTATAATGATGTCTTGCCATTCTAGTTCAGAAACTAGTGTCTTGCTATTCTTGTTCGGCAAGTGCTATTCTTGTTCGGCAAGTACCATCTTGCTCAGAAAGGAAAAATAAATTTCCTGCTGTAATTTGATATAGCTGTAGTCGCTGAAGGTCAGAGGAAATATTTTGGTAGGCACACTTAGTTTTACTTGGGAAAGAACACCTAATTGAACCTTGTGACAAAATCATTAGATAAACTGGATTCTGCATCTGGTCTTCGAACAATTGTATTTTCTTTAAATTCCCCTCTTTCCCTGAAACTGGGACACTTACAGAATGGGAAGTTAGCTTCATAAACAGTAAGGCATTGTCACCTCTTTCCATCCCTTTCCAACAGATGTCAAAGTCAGTTCAAATCTGTTTCTTTTGGGGGCTGGAGAGAAAACTAGTATTTAACGACCTTTCCCGTTTGTTTTCCTCATGATTGTACATCTAGCAATTTAAAGGATTCTCATGTGGGCATTTGTCACCCTTCCATACAGTGACCAATAATTAGAGCAAAACAACACATGGAATGGCCAAGTGCAAATTAACAGCTGTCAAGCTGACTTCCATTTGGAAGGAATATGACCTGAAGCAATTGGCCACATACGTATATATCCCCAGGGTAAAACAAGCTTGCAGTTGTCATAAGTGGCTGCTGGAGAGAATCCCTAAGAATATGTAATACAGTAGATGGTGGATCATTCTCCTCAATGCTAGAAATGAGACGGATGAAACTGCTGTTATTTGAGCAATGCTCATTCTAAAGAAAAACATGTTCAGCACCTTTAAATTTGAAATTGCCAAAATGTATTGAATATGCTAGACAACAGAAAGAGTGAGTCATTTTTATACAATGTCCAAAATATTGGTGCTTGAAGACTAAATCAGTTGTGAATTTTCAATGACTGGCCACTGCAGAATGAAAGATGCCTGTCTGGGTGTCAGTGGATGAGATATGCCTATGCACATAGAGATTGAAGATTTTGGTAAATGGAACTGCTATTAAGAAAAGCAATGGGTGATTTTACTGTCCACACAAATATGAAAATGGAAGACTCCAAACAGGAGAGATATATAACAGTAACAAGACCAAAAAATAGGGTCAGAGGAGAAAAGCAGGAGAGACTGTGGAGTCACTAGAACAAATGAGAGAAAGGAAGAGACTGGATTTCTTTCAGTAGGAGATTTCTGTCTTATTGTAGGGACTCATCAGTGTCAGAGGCAGCAAACTGATCTAGGCAAGAAGAAAAAAAAATGGCTGATTCTGAGGAAAAGCTGTAGTTCCTAGAGCTCTGAAAGGGTGCTGCAGACTGGTAGGGGAACAGAGGTGGGGAAAAATAAATGTATGTCCATCTGCTAATGGATGTAAATGTGCACAGCGCTTTTAATAAGCACAAAAATAAAGAATGGTTGTGTCAGAAAACCTTGTGCAAAATCTCTTTGCACTTCTTAGATGCTGTGCTTGTCTTGTTCTGGAGAGACAGACTGATCCTTCCTTGGTTTTGCTTGTAGACAGTGCTGACACTGAAAGAGAACAAAAAGCATCTATAGAAAGCAATGTGGAAGGTACCACGACTCAAGAAAACTAAGCCAGTATCAAATTCTGTGGTGTATGTGGAGCCTTTTTTTAGGAAGGCTGCACTAGGAACTGGGCAATCTGTCCCAGGGACCTCATCAGAGTGTACATATGCACAGTCTTAGAGACTTTTGCAAAGAGAAATGTCTGTTGTGCTTGAGGGGCTGACTTCTCTGGATGACTGAAAGAGGTAAATGTGCGTAGCAGGGCTAAGAGATAACTAGAGTATAAAAAAAAGTTAATTCTATCTGTAGGATAAGCAGTAAGAAAAATAGAAATATTTTTACAGAAAGAAGACTATTTAGGTAAAAGTACCATCCAGATGGACCATGAGAGAACCACTCTAGCGATGAGAGACACTGGATTGTGAGTGGTGTGAAAACAAAGCAGCAGAGTCTGGGCCTTTGGCATTTCAGCTGTCAATCAGCTGAGCACCACTGATCTGGTAGCTGACTTGGACTCCAAGCAGATCACTGTCAGGATGAGGACATCAGCTTCCTATGGAAGACTGCTCAATTTCAGCTCTTTTTTAAGGAAGGTTACCTTTCTTTTGTACTCCAGAGGTAAGGAAATATTTTGTTACCTTATAGAATATCCACGATGATAAATTATTACTGAAAATCCTAGGTACCATTAAACACTTGCTTTGAAGGCAGTTCCTAGCTGCTATTGCTTTAAATCTGAGATAGGAACAAAAAGTTCATGAGATTTACAAACAAAACACATTCAACACAAAATTTCATATAGCTTTTGTTGATCCTCCCATTAGCAGAATGTCGCTTTGGCTGCATGTATAAGAATGGAGGAGTTCTGAAACCCTAAAGAACTGATTTGACATCCTGTGTATTGAGTTCCAGATGACAATATTTTTTGTGCCTATACAGTTCTTGAAACCCAAAGAAAAAAGCCAAAGTCCTGTGTGAGGTATTACGTACACATGCCCAGAAATGCAATTACTGCGTAGCAGTGGGTGGGTAGCAGCTGCTTGGCACACCAAGTAGGTCTGCCTGTGCATGAAGAAGGGACGACAGAGGGAGCTGTAATAAGTACAGCAGGTTTGAGAATACAGGTTAAGGTCTGGCAACGTGGGAGGACGTATGCTACAGCCTGTGCACTGCACTGGCAAACAGCCTAAGGGCAAAATCTCATGTAAGGACACAGCAAATGTTAAGGGCAAAGTGCAGTTTTGAGATACAGTACATGCTCACTGTAAATGGCACTGCTGAGGTCTAATGCTTGTATGACTTTACAAAGAATGTCTGAAGTCCATGATTATAAATATCAACAACTCCATGGACAATTAGGTCACATATGGGGAGATGCAGGCCTTGAAATAGCTTTCTACCTGAAGGGAAAAGTTATCTGCCTATTATGTCTGGTGACAGCTTTTCCAGACTTTTTTTTTTATTGCTCCTGGTGGGGGGCAGCTCTGCCAGTGTTGAGCTTGTGCAAGCGAATGCCTCTGCTCCACAATACTTGCCTGCATTTGGAAACTTCCACCCTGATGTTGCCACAGCACGGCTGATATCCATCTTTCCAGTTCAACCCGTGAGGACTCTCCCTGCTAAGCAGCCTGGTTACAGCACACGCAAGAACACATTTCCCTCAACGTGCAAATTCAATTTGGAATTGCTGGAGATTGATATTGCTGTCCAACGCTATAAACTCTAATTGTGTGGGAGAACAAATTTGTTTTTCTGACCACTCATCTCTGACAGACTCATTATTTTGTCATAAAGCAATTGAAATGATATTTTTGGCAGTTACATAAGGCGCAGGAAGCACTCTGGCGTGCTGAAGGAGCAGTGCTGTTGTAGTGGGAGCCCTGGGTGCGCTGTGTTCCTCACAGACTCTATTTACATACAGACAACTGACATTAAAATGCTGTAAATATCACCAAGGTAATTGCTAATAGCGTGCTGACGCTCTCGCACGGGAGTGCCAACCAACAGACTGGGGGGCACGTGAGGGGATCGTTGTTGTTGAAGAGATCATTCATGAGAAAGAAAGACAAGAGAAGCTCTTTGATACATTTTTAACGACTAGCCATATGTTCCTCACTTAGAAACATCTTTGAATTGTTTTAGGTCATTGCCAAAGTTTAGAAAATCAACTTAAAACCAACTTGGAAGACTTCTGCCCAGACCCTTTGCTTTTACATGCCACGAGTCGGCTCTCTGCTCCCAGGTAAACAAAGCCTGAACTTGCAGAGGAGTTGGTATGTTTGCTCTTCATGTTCCTGCTCACATATTGTAAAATACCATCCCCGCACAGTTTTAATTAATAACCACCACAATTAGGCATTTAAAAACACTCTTAGGAATGTTAGGAGCCTTAGTCAGCTCCTCGGTGCTAGCAACTACTTCCAGCACCTTGTTACAGTTGTCCTAAAGGACTTGGCCATGCTTTTCATGACATCAAATGTGTTAAGGCTGTCACCTACATTATGCCTCTCAAGCTTACTAATGACCTTAAGCCAGCTTCACCAGTGAGATTTAGTCTTCTAATATAATCTAGACAAAGATGAAAATTCCACATTACAAACACATTTGAAGTGATACCTCAGCCAGGAGGGAGGAAGAGATGTAGGTTGAGAAAGTGAAAGTCAAAATATAAGCACTTTTACAATATACCATGAAATCTTTTGGGTAAAACCAGCTTTGCTGGTCCATTATTTTTCAGATTTTAAATTTTTGACTCTTTATGAGGCAAATTCAGCATAACTTGAGAAACTGTATGTACAGGTAAATTACAAAACTTTTGCACCGTTGAGTGTACAACGTAAACAACATGAAAATACTTAGATAAGTCTGATTTTCCCTTAATTTTCTCTAACAAGTGGAACATGTTTTCACTGAGGCTCACATTTGCTGAATATTGTTATTCATTATATTGTAAGATTTTTTTCCATGTCATGTCAAAAAAACCCACAAAGTATGCTGGTCCTTATCCTAATTTCCAAAGCTTAATAGATTTTGTGAGGATGAAAACAAGTATAAAGGATACTGTCGTGAAGAAATAAAATGACTGATGGCCAATTTATTTCTGTGAGGATGCAACAGACAGTGAGAACACGCTTACATAAAAGTGATAACAAGACAATTACTGCAATCTCTGCTACCAGTGCTCACTGTAGGGACTACCCATCTGAAGAAGTTCTGAGCTAAAGGGTAAAAAAAAACCTAAGGATGGTTGACAATCAGAAAATGGCATGGGTTGCTGGCTGCAAGTAGGTCTGCTGAACAAATGTTCACGTGAAGCAGAAAAGTAAATTCTAGTTTCTATTCTCTTTTTTTTTTGAGTCATATGAATATGTCAGGTCCACGTTGCTGTAAGGAATCAAAGTCCAAAGAAGGCACTACATATTTTTCTGGAATTTAGAAACAAGATCCCTATGGTCTGCTGGTAAAATGTAGACACTGTAGTGAGAGTAATGAAATGTGAGTCCTCTTTTTCACTTGTTTATTTCTGGAAATGCCTTCTGCTGGTCACCAGTCTTTTTCCCTGTCCTTTTCCCTGAATTTATCTAATACATCATAATCTCCCACTGAAACAAAATTCCTTTGTGGAACAGGGCTAAATCAATAATAAAGGATAAACAAATTCAGTAATAACAAATATAACTTTGTATAGGTAGATATATTATTCTTTCATTTGCAAAGCAAGGACTAATGTTGGATCAGGTTTTTAAGCTTCTTAAATCTGTAAGTAGCTTTGTGGCTAGAAAAGAAGTTTAACCTGCGCTCAGTAATCCTGCTGCACCTTAGTACCTTAGAATCCAGAGATTTACAGAAGCCTCTTCAACTTTATTCTTCACTGTTTCGTTTTCACTGCTAAATTCGGGAGGAAATTGAATTAGACTCCCACAGGCAGTATGGAAAATTGGGGAAAATAGCTTCTTATTCTCCCTCAGCTGAATATAATATATCTAGTGGGGAACAGCAAAGCCTAGGCACAGAGCATGTTTGCTTTGCTTTCTCAGTGGCCTACTTCCAAGCAGTTCGGAGAGCTTGAAATTAAAAAAAAAAAAAAGACAACAACAAAATCCAAAAGGGCAGCATAATTCCCTTTCCCGCAGTCCCAAGGCTCACAGAAAGCATTCAGGGCATAGTATTGCCCACTGTTTGCACTAAGCCAGCCCAACTTTAAGAGAATGCAAGTGCTAAATTTAATATAAGATTTATTGTGTTCATAAGCTAGTAAACATTTCTATATACTGTCAAGTAAATCCTGGCCAATGCAAGTAAGAACTATCAGATCACTGCTGACCAATTTATATCTCAACCTGTATTTGATTAGTACATTGTCTGATAGATGCACACCATCTTCCTTCTGAAGGGAAACATTAGTGGGGCAGGTTCTTCTGGCTTTGCTGCTCCTTTTCCCCTGCCACTTTCAGACAGAAGGCCACAAGCTACCATACCTTGCCAAATAAACTGTAAATGTTTCTGATATGCAGTAGTTTACCAGATGACATCCTTCCAGACAAACAGAGGCAACTGAAAATGTTTACAGGCTACATCAACAGCACTCATCACAAACACAGAAAGGAGGAGGCAGACTGAGCAAACTCCTCAGTATTTAAGCATATGAAACTGTTCTGATTTTGGGGCTAGATAAAAAATGTTACAGATCAACAGATATGAAAATATTCACTTTCTTCAGTCTCTTAGATCCAAAGTCTAAAAATAATCCACTGTTGCTTATGTCTAGTAGAACAGAACAGCTAATTCTGAGTTATTTAAGTTTACCATATAAAAAAATAGTCATCCTTAATATTAAATACTTAGATAAACCTAGCCAAGTGGAATGGGCACATGCTTTTTCTAACTTTGATTTCATATTCTCTAAGTGTTAAAGCAGAAATAAATGTCTGAACATATACCTGCTGTTAGCTGCTGAAAAGAACCAACTTCCATTCCCTTCCTAAACATTAATTTTTGCTTTTTTTTCTTCAGAGATATTAGTTTTCATTGAAATGTGTCAATAAAGAGAGTGGCTATAAAATCTGCAAGGGTTTGCCAGCAGCATGTTCTGCAAATAATTTCACTCGTGAACACAATTTGCCAGATTCTTAGCTGATGTAAATCCATCTGGCTCCTGTAGATTCAATGAATTTATGTTAGTTTGCACTGCCTGAAATGAGGCCTAATTTGTTTCCAGCTTTCATTCATATTATCCTAGGCTTGGTGGCTGTATTTTTAGATAATGGCAGATAATCTTTTCATAATTTTCACTGGCAGGTCCAAGATCTTGAATAAGCATGGGATGGAAACTGGGAGTCAGTGGAGCATAAGGAGCCCAGGTGTGATGTGCTTAGGGGTAGGACTGCTGAGAAGGTAGGATGCCAGTACTTTACATTGTTTCTATGCATCTATTTTTCTCTAATCTTTAACCTCAGAAATAGGAAGCTTTTCTTATCTACATGAAGGATGCTGAATGGGAACAATGGCAGTCATGTCTCTCTCAGAGTGGAAGCAAAATCTCTTGCTAAGATGAAGACCAATAACAACAGTTTCTTCCAGTGCTACCAACTGATCATTTAACACTAGTGGTTGTTTGGTAGATTCCCAGACTACCAAAGAAGAATTGAGAAAAAGCAGTGGATATAAACTCTAAGTACACCTGATGGACTTAGAGTTTACATCCACTGCTTTTTCTAAAAAATTAGGTTTTTTTTTTCCTTCTCTCTCACTTGAGATTTCCTTCTTTTTCACTGGAATCCCTTTAATCTCACCTACTAAGTTGCTGTATTTCACACTTCAATCAATGTCTTGATACATGGAAGGGATGAGATGGCAGAGGGGGAAGCACATGTCGCAGAGGTACTACACAGCTAAGGTGTTCTGAGTTGTCATGATGTATCTCCTGTTTTCATTGGTTTGCTCCAACTATCAAGAAAAGCTAGGAGACACTAAAAACCTGAATAACCTCACTTCCCATACTGCTATATATCTGAGAGACAAAGGCTACTGGGACAGGAATGCATCTCTCTCCTCACCAGCTGGAATAACAAAGTCTGCTTGGCAGTACCCTGCCATAATCCATCTGATAGTGCAAAGAAGTTAAGAAGCACAGCATCTGAGATTTGACAACTGCTCATTGCTATCAGGCTATTATGGAAGAAAAGTTTTTATTATTTTAAATTTTTTGCTGCTGTCCAATATCCTGCTTAGCCAACCTTAGTTTGCCATCCATTATTAGGCAGTAAGTCATTATCAACAAGTCAATAGACATGACCAGATACCCAAAACAGACCTTCTGTTTTAAATGCTATAATACCACCTGGCAGAATTTAACCACTTTATCACAGCAAGTGTAAAAGTCTGTACCACAACCTGGTAGATTTTTAAGAATGTGGCACACAAACCTCAGATGAATGGTGGATCAATATATCATTGCAAAATTATATAGCTTACAAATTTAAAAACAGAAATTAAGAAGTCTTTAGGAGTCACTGTTTGTTTTCTTTTCTCCCGATACAAATCTGAACATTAGATTGGAAATTCCCAGCATTTTGCTAATGTCCATCACCACTTTTAAGTTTATTGAGAAACCAATTTTCCTGGGTTTAATTCAATTAATAAATACCAGTCTTACATCTGCTCAGCAGCAATCCCAAGAAAGCTGCTCTAAGATGCTAGTGATTACACCAAACTTCCTGTCTTTATTTGTAAGTAGTATTTCACAGCATCAGCTGCCAGCTGGTATCCTGAATTCTTTTTCTCAGTACAACACTGAAAAGGAACAATTTGTTGTGTGGGAGGTCTAGAATTGTGATCATTAAATTACCATCCAAGCGGACATGTCTACAATAGCATTCAAAAATGTTGTTTAACTGTCTGGAGTGGGGGAAATTTTATTCTCTCACGCAGCAATACCCTAAAGTGAGCTGTTACAAATTTGTGTCCACAATTGATGTTGGATGGACCTGACTGAAGCAGAAATATCTTTACTTTAAGCTTAGAGAATGACTCAGGGCGTAGCACCTATTGTGTCACAGTAGGGAATAAAGTATTTTCATGAGACATTGGCAGGAGAGCAGTGTTTCTGCTACATGAGAAACAAGCAAGGTTAATTTTATACTGATTTTGGTAACTTTTTGAGGACTATAATAGAGAAAAGCAGCATAAAAATATCCATGGTGCGCGAAGAATTCAACACCAGGGAAACCGGTTCTGTGAAGCAGTACATCTGCTGCTCTTTTCAAAAGATTTTAAAGCATTTCTGTTTAAGAGACCTCCCATGGACTCATTTAAAAGCTCAAATGTGCCCCTAGTAGTCACTGCTGCAGAGATGGTATATATGGAATAGTGGCGTATGGACTGTAACTGGTTGCCTCCAAGGGAGAGACAATATGCCTTGTGCTACTCTGAGCAATACTCCTGAGAGGAGCAGTGGGTGTAAGCCCTGGCTCGGCAGAGACACCCTGCTGTCCTCCACGGGTGTCCCTTTGCGCTGCACAAGGACTGGCCCCCGCAGCAGCCGGTAGGGCGGGATCCTGCATGTGGGCAGGGAAGAGGTGCAGAATAGCCCACCCCACATACACTGACTTTTGGACACCAGGTATCACTTGACAAAGTGAGATCTCTCTGATAGCTTTAATGCAGTGAGTAGCAAGGTCCTGTTCCTACTGCAGTCAGTAACAGGAAAGGTTTTTCTCTGGGTGCTGGTTATCAGGATTCAGTGAGGAACCTTCTCCATTGCTCATTCTCTGATAGGATCTGCTGTGACCAGCTCTGCTTTTAACCCCTCTTGTTCTGTTTATGTCTGTAGGTGAGGGGATTTTACAAATCAAACAAAGCTCTGATGAGACTTCCACATCCTTTCCAAAAAAACACCAAGACCATGGAAAAATTGTTTCCAAGAAGAAGGTGGGTTGTAGTTGAGAGAAAAGCAAACATAAAGCAGAATAATTTACGGAGGTTGTTTAACCCTTTCAGAGCTGCTGGTTCAAGCCAACTCATGGCAGCTCCTGTGATCCCCCCCACTGGGCAGGCTCCTGCAGCGACAGGATTCATGCAGGACGTGCAATGAAATGGAGCTGGAGCAAGGGATAGGAGCCAGCAGGAAAGATTTGGGCAGTTGATCAGGAGGTTGCACTTCTGTTTAAAAACAGCCAGAAAGGAGTCAGACTTTTCTCCAAAGATAAAAGGTCTATTGAAAATATCCTTGGGTTTTTTGCTGCATATGTTGGCTGCCTTTTGCTTCAGGTGTACCACCAATACACACAACCAGCAATAAAGCACACGTAGAGAACAAAGGCTGAGTTCTCATTCCAGTAAGTTCTGTTAATAAATAGTTACATACAACCTAACAGTCCCTGAAAAGCTCAGGATTCAAGTGCTTTAAATAGACAAAATCAGATTGCTCTTCTTTTATCTGTCTTGTTCTATAGGAGATATGTTGGGGAAAGATAAAGAAATATTGATAAAAGCACTCTTTTATTTTCCATATCACCATGAGATGTTTAGGCACTGACTGGACATTTAGAAAAACCAGGGTAAGTGAGGGCATAAGCAGAAATGTAATTCAGATTGTCTTTTGAGACTCCTGAGAATCCAGATGTGAAAACTTTTCGCATATGATTTAGTGGCCTCTTCATGGATATTTTTACATGACAAATATGTAAAATATCATTAAATTATGAGGACACAGCCTAGCCAAAAACTAATGCTTGATTCTGATAAATAGCTTAATATTCGTCTTTTCAGACTTATGCCTTGCTCCTCATCTGCACAGAAGCTATTGCCCAAGATTCATCGTTGCAACTGCTCTGAAAGGCACCTTTTCACACAGGTAAACTGCGTCCTCCTGTTCCCTGCCAGTGGTTTGCTGTTCTGCTGGTTATAGCTGATATTACTCCTTGGTGTTCTGAATTTAAGGCCTTGGAATCGCGTCTCTCCCTCTGCAGCGCTGCCATCGTTGCCAGGAAGCGAGGAGCGCAGGGCAGCTGCTGCGTGCGGAGCGCCGGCCCCGTCCCACTGCGCTCTGCCGGGTCCTGCCGCTGCCTCCGCGGGATGCTGCTCACACAGGCGAAGGAGAAGAACGTGCTTACTTGCGAGGGCAGGTTAATTGATCTCTTTTTGAAAAATCATGTTGCTGAACTTGAACTTTAAGGATAATTAAAAGGCATAGAGCAGCTCTGTTCTTTTCTGGAGCGTGTTCCGAGGTATTCATGATTAAACTATAAAAGCCGAGGGTGCATAATGAACTGTTCAGAGCAACTAATGCTGACTAAATATTTCAAAAGTGGTTTTGTTCTGGTGTTTTCTTGTGTTTCATTAGGGTTGATTTTCAAAAAGCTTAAGCCTCACGGGTCCATCTAAAATAATTGGGAATTGGTAGTTGCTTATTACCAAAGCAGACACTCCCAATCCACTTTAAAATACATACAGCTTTTATTGTCCCTTTTTTATTTCCTTTTCTTTTCTTTTAGTTTTTTGTCTCAATTGGAGGTCATTACTTAAAAGAGAAAAGTTAAAAAACCAAACAACATTTCTAATTGTTTATCATGCTAGCCTCAATTTTTTAACTTTCAGAATCCATACAGTATAAACTCCTTGTCACAGAATAATTCCCTCTGGAATTATTATGATAAGAATTATTTGCCAGTAGTGCCATGTAAATAATTGATTTTTCAGTTCACTGACTGAACTGAAAAAAAATGGGGGAAAAAAAATAATTTGTGTCAAATGAAATGTGTAGTTTTATTTACAGATTTTAAATCCCATTTTAGAAATTATTTTTGAAAAAATTTTTTAAACAACAATATTTCCAAAGGAAAAATTCTGCCTTTTTTTGAGTTTTCAAAAAAATTAGTCAAAGCTGCTTATTAATGTGAGTTGAATTCTGATACTTTTAGCCATCCCAGACAGAATTTTCTTCTGTGAATAATTCATCCTTCAAAAATACTAATCCTTTCTCCTGCTGAAGAAAACTAGATGACAAGCGAGCTGTTGAAGTATGCCAAAAGCACTTAGCATCCTATAGCTAACAGATACTGAAAAAGAGCTGTTGGGTCACTTTACCTCTAGCCCTGTTGGTATAACAACCGGCACAATGAAATTATTTGTTAGGAGTAATTTTAAACACTTCAGGAAATGAAGTTCTAACTGTATCTTTTCTTTTTAATTTGGGAAAACAATTCTTCTTTCATCTAATATATTTCAGTTGCTGACTTTGTGTAGAGAAAGATTACTTTCTTTTTCAAAAATACCATATGACTACTGTTTAATTATAGACACTACTTATTGTTATCTTGAAGCCATTAAACTGGTTAGATCTGCAAATGTTTTATTATTTCATATTAAAGCCAGTGGAATTAAACAAGATGGGA